GCGTCTATCAAAAGACGATAGATTGAAAACTCACCCAACAAAAGAAAAATTAGAAATCAACAAATAGACGAGCGGAGGAAAAATCCATAACGGAAAGCGGAAAGGGAAAACTCATTTTTCTTGGGAACTGAAAAATCAAACTGCTAAGTGATGAAAGTGTATTGTTTTCCAGTCCCGTATGGGGCTTTTTCCGTGCTAATCACAGTAGCTGAGAGTGGGGTGTGATTATACTAATCAGCCTACACCTATACCTACACCTACACGCACTCTCTGAAGGTTTATGTCGGAAAATGGTTGGTATCCTTTTTTCATGTGGTATTTTTCCATAATTTATTGAAACCCATCGAAACTTTATTGATCACGTATGTTAAGAGTGTTTTTAAGTAGATTTCTTCACAAGTCGCAGATTGTCTTTAAAATAACTGTTCAAGATTAAGCGGGAAAAGTTCATTAGTTTCAACTTTATCAGAAACGATCACTTACTAATGTTTTAGATCTAATGTCTTTGGAGAATACGTCATTCTTCTATAAGTAGATATTTTTCTGATTAAGTTATTTATCTGCTATAAAACAGTTTAAAATCGTTATCTCTGATTTCATATCAAAGTTTATATGATAGATCAGAGTAATACCATTCGAAAAATGATAGAAGTTACATTTATGAAATCAAGAATCAGTACGAAAAATACATTGTCTGTGGGTTTGCAATGAATTTTCAATCTGTTTGTAAATATATGAATGAGAAAACGCTTTGAATTTCAGTTAGTATTGGATTTCATTCGAGTTTTATTTATGACAATACTCACCAAGTATTTGATTATTTGAATTAATATTGCGAAAGAAGCGTTGTCTGAAACACCTGTCTCCTTGTTCTTTCCAACTACAAATGAAATAGTGTGATGTACTTTCTTCTTCCTATAAACCTGATTTCTTAAAATATCGCTGAACTAGCGCAAACAACAAAAAAAAATGATTTTTTTTCTTTGACAATATTGAGTCAGATAAAAAAAAACAGGCAGTAATTGCTCACTGATTCTTCTTTAAAGTAGCTGCACTATGGAAACCAACATTTTGTATTTTTCTATTTACTCTTCAAACAAGATATTATGTAAACATGAGTCAGCGCTGATGAAAGCTTGTTTTTATTAGAAAGCGCATAATGTGTTGCTGAAGGTGGAACAGATGACGTACTTTATTTTCATTACCTTTCTCTTCTATTCATTCTCGGATTTAGCAAATAGAAAATTTCTCTCATTTAAATAAAGAATAAAAAAGTGTTTGTTTATTTTTTGCTGCAGTATATTTTTGTCGTTCATTCACTTCAAGAACGAACGTACTGTAGTGAAAGAACGGCTCTTTCACTCCAGTATGGAGTAAAAAGATGAAACTAATTTTATCTGTACAGCGAAAGTACTGAAGAGCGTTTCGAAAGAAAATAAAATCAGAATCAGTTTTAAAAAGGCGGGGTGTGGGTGTAGGTGTGGGTATGGATGTGCATGTGAGTGGATAGGAAGATTACCCATATCCGTATCGACACTCTTACTGACAGTTGAACGTGTGAGAAGAAATACTGTTTGTCTTATGTGTGGAGCTGTTTTTATATTTCTAGTAGGTGTGAAAAAATGAAAGCTACTGTTGATTCTTCTTCGATGAAGTGAGAACAGTCATTCTCTTCATTTACTGCTTCAATCCAACATAGTAGGGGGTGTGAGGGTGTGGGTGTGGATGTGGGTGGGTGGGTGTTGGGTGTAGATGTGGGGTGGATGTGGGTGGGATGGGTGTGGCGTGGATGTGGGTGTGCGGTGGATGTGGGTATGGGTGTGGATACTTTATTCAGGGGTCGCAGCGGCATGTGTTCCAAAGTCAGGAAGTAGGACAGGAAATTTTTTTTTAAAATGAGGAATTTTCGTAAAAGTCAGGAAAGGTAAACTTTCTTCTAATATTGCTTTTCTCGAGTAAAATCGACGTCGAAGAAAGTGCAATAATAACAGCTTGTAACAATCAAAATATAGGTTGTTATAAGTAAATACTAAAGTTATTTAAAACAGTATGAATCATATATAAACTTATTGTGTTATTCAGGTTTATATACTTTTCGTTCTGCTCTATTTAGTTCTTTTCTTTCTCTTCTATTGTCATACTTTTATTGTGTTTTTATTCTCTGCTTATATAAGACAACTATTATCTTATATTGACTTGATTTTGAAAAATGTATCCCTTTGACTAAATATTTTCTGATGCTGACAAATATAAAGTTTTGATCAAAATGGTTGCAAAACTCAGATAATACTGGTAGAGTGAATTCTCGATGGCTTAAACAAGGTAAAACTACCAGTTCATTTCAATGTATCGTATGCAATTCAGGTAATTTTAGTTGTACTAATGGAGGATGGGCTAATTTAAAGAGGCATTTTAATCGGTCATAACATATTCAATGTATGAAAGATGTGCTTGATTTTACTTTACTAACAGCATCAAATAATCAATCATTACTTTTATCGAAAAATAAGAATGATAATAGTACATGTTTAGGTACAGGATCTATTGATAGAAATACAACAAGAATATCTTTTGTTATTGTTGAGAAAGAACAACGAGCATTAACACATGATGATAGTTAGTATCTGCATTTACTATTTACTATTTTTATAGTATTTTTCGATGTCATTACCCAAAGTATATGACGATGGAAAACCATCGGAATATGAGAAAAAAATCTGACTGGATAATGTTAGATACTCTAATGTAATCATAGAGAGGAGCAAGAAAAAAAACAATAATAAATATATCAGAGACACGACGCTTTAAAGGAAGAAGAAAATAGTGTACCGATCACTACATGGACATGTAGAAGAAAAAGAAATTGATTTATTAAACTAACAAAACATTTTACAACAAGATTTAGTGAGTGCAATGAAAATGTTGGAAGAAGGAAGTACAAGACTTGCCACAGCTGTGAATAGTAAAGATTTTAATGATGTTGGTACAGCTGAATTACTTGTAACCGCTGCTAATGCTAAATTATCTGTTTTGAAAGCTCAATTACTTGATAATAGTGAAAATTTAAACCGATTGAGAAAAAAAAAGAAAAAATGAATGATGAATGATGAAAGTAAACATTATTTTTACAAATTATATTGCTTTTGTTAAAGATATTGTATAATATATGATGTTTTAATATGCATTTTGAAAATAAATTAAGATAAGAATATTATATTATGTTATGATAAGGCAAATACAATGACTATGCGAATGAATTATAAAAAATCAGGAGAAATTCAGGATTTTTGGCCGAAATTAGGAAAAACAGGACGTTTTTCAAAAAACAGGAAAAAAACAGGAAAGTATACCGGCTGCGAGGCCTGTAATTTATTCATGTAAACCCACACCTACGTCCTCCCAGATCCACACCCCAAACCCGCACACACACACACTAGTAGTGCTGAGCTGTATGATCCATAACACACACAGTAGTGATAACACAATTTGTTCGTTACTAATAAAATGTGTTCATTTTTCACATATTATTTGAATAATCGAGCTTTTATATTCTAATAAAGAGAAATTGTATGTTTTAGAATGTCTGCTAAACTGTCGTGTCTTGCAACAACTTAATTGTATTAGCTAAGAAGTTTCGTTGCTGAAGTCGATCATATCCATGTCAATTGTTCGACAAACTCGATTTTTAGATGTAAAAAATAGAATTATCAGTCCATATTAAACATACAACGAAAAGCAGAAGCAAGAGAGTTAGAAGTTGATCACCCGACCATTAAGAAATTTTAACGGAGTGAGTAATCATGTCAATACACTGATGATACCTGATGAAGTTTTATTTCTTATTTTTAGAAAATGCAATACAGTTCATATTTTTTATTTAGTTGTGGATGCTAATCAACGATTTAATTGATTCTATGTGTATTCGTAATCTTAATATCACTACAATTATGAACATCAGTTCGTTGTATGAACAGACTTCTTTGACAGATCCTCAAATTTTTTTAAGTATTTGTAAAAAATCCTATCTCGAATTCATAATCAAATACATGAACTCACCGTTGAAGAGTATTCAGGGAAACAAATTCTTACTACATAGCATCCTCAACTTTATTCATTATCAATTTTTAAGAAAAAACAGGTACTTTATGCAAGAAGATAACTGCTGAGCAGTAAAAGAAATGAACAAAGATATTTTATGTTTTTTTATTTCGTATTTGTCAGCAAATCAATGATATCAATCTGCGAAAGATAATGTATAGTTTAAGGTGTGGATGTGAAATGTGTTTGTCTTTTTTTCTAGCAATGTTAAATTCATTCTCTAGAGGATTAGCTGAAAGGAAATTGAAAATTATATAAAATTAGTTGCCCGAGTTACGTAACCAACTGTAACATAGCTTAGTCAAATTTAATAATATATTGATAAATGGTGATTTTATCAAAAACATGTTCTTTTTCAAACTTATTATATTAAATACTTTATATAATCAACAGTTGTAATTTCTTAAGAATTATTTGCCTAGTTGAATTTGTGAATTTCACAGTACAATACTATTATGTCGGTAACATTTATCAGAGAATCATTTTCTATATTTAGCCATTTAATAATGAGATTTTATTTTCAACCTAAAACATATTCCCATTTACTAAAATAATTTCTTTTGTTTATATTTCTCATATAAATTCATTGTTTTTTTTCTTTACTATTGATCGGTGTATTTTTTAACGAATCACAACTCTTTCTATGAGTCATATTTTCTCCTCCTCTATGAATTTTAGATATTATAATATCATTTGATACAAAAAAAAAATAAACTATTTATGTTTAATATTTTACAAATTATGTACTTTTATCTTATAAAATATAAATTTCGTTTTTTTGATACATCATAATAAACAAATATGATAAAACAAAACTCTATCATGATGACGAGGCATTTATTTTGCACTATCATTATTCCATATAAATATTCGCTCATTTTGTACACTTGTTATAAAACAATATGACGGCCCAAGATGAAGCATTACCTCAAGAATTATTCTTTCGTATATCGGGAACTGGTGATAGTCCATGGGAATTAGGTCGACCTCAACCAGCAATAATTAAACTTGTTGAAAAAGGAATTTTTCATGGTGAAATACTTGATATTGGTTGTGGTATTGCTGATAATGCAATCTATATTAAAAATCATGTAGAGAATATTAATCTTACAGCAATTGATCTAGTAAATAAATCTAAAACATTTTCTTTTTTTTGTAATTTAAATAAATATCAAATTCTGTTTAGGTGCCAAAAGCAATTGAAGTTGCACGTGAAAAAGCTGAAAAAAATAATGTTAATATTCAATTTGAAGCTGTTAATATGCTTGATGATCTTTCAACAATAACAACACATACTTTAAAACAACATTCATATGATATTATTCTTGATGCAGCTGTTTTTCATATGTTTTCAAATGATGATCGTCAAATTTATGTTAAAAATCTTGAATATTTAATTAAACCAAATGGTCTTTATATTCAAATATGTTTTAGTGAAAAAGAAACTCGTGAAGGTGGACCACGTCGTATAACAAAAGCTGATTTAAATCAATTATTCTCGGCAGATCATGGTTGGACAATTGAATCAATTGAAGATACTGTTTATGAATTAAGACCTGATGGACCAATAGGTACTGATGGTCGTGCATATCTTTCATTGATTCGACGAAATAAAAACATTTAGTTGTATAACATTTTGTAAATGAAAAAAACATAGAAGATTATTAAATTATATATTCAATATTTGATTGAACTTATGAAATTGTAATGATTGTTGAACACTTATAGAAATCAAAACTTGAAAGATATTATAGAGTGGCTTAAATGTAACTAAACAGTCTTTAATTATGAATAAATTATAATAGAATGTGGGTATCGGTGAGATGGGACGTTCCATCTCTTGAGCCACACCCAATCTCAAGATTCAAATCGAACCTGTTGGCTTGGTCTCTCGTTTGGAGAATTTAATCGAATATATTTCAAGTTAATAGCCATTATAGACGTTCATTTTAATATATTTATCTGAGCTCTCACATGACAGGCGTGAGTCTTTCTTTTGCCTTTCCTAACGATAAAATAATGATAAAATGTTCTCCGGCATAATTGATCACAGTCCAGGAAGAAGAATGAAGAGAAAAATAAAAAGAAACTTATGATATAACAACAACATCTGGTAGCAAATTGATTATAAAAAAGATTTTCTGGAAAAAAAATATGAAAATAAATAAATAAATAAATAAACCAAATGGATGTTCTAAGGCAAGCCGTTTTGAGAAATAAATAACTTCTAAATTCCGATGATGGATAGATGAGTATATTATATTACAATTTCGATGTGTACCATTGTGAACATACATCGAAAATATAAAGTTGCCGATATACAGCATAATGCTTCTCTATGCAAGGCAGACTAATTATAATAACTATTGTTTTTGTCATTTTCTTTGTTGATTTTGATTTGATGATCCTATTACCAGTTATATATTCAAGAAAAAGGAGCGGACAATAAACTTCTATATATATACTACTAGTTTTAAAAAAATTTTCATGTTGATCGCTATCAATTACCAAAAGCTATTTGTGGATCATCCTTGTGATTTTTTAAGTGTTCCTATGAAGAAAATTTGTCGATAAAAACACTCACTGTCCGACAGTACATTAGCTTCATTTTGCTTATTCTTTTATTGGTTTTTGTGAGTGTTGTTAATATCTGCCAAATACGTCGTAAGATTCCTCAATATTCTCCATAAATATGTTGTAAAACGAAAAGAAAATCAGATTATCATATTACATACTATAAATGTCTTCTCACTTTCTAACATAGATTATAACTCTGATCCCATCTGTTAAAATCCTGTTTTTTTGCGCAGTTTAGTTTAACAGTTATGTGACGCATGAGTTAAAAGTCAGATATTTATTCGGAAATACGTCAGAGAAATGCGTTAATAAATGCTAGAGAATGTGCATCATCTGTTATAATTATTCACATTTACGTCAGCAACGAGACATTACACCTGGAAAAAAACGGAACAAACGAGTTTGTTCATTGTATATCATGAAATTTGATGACGACAATAAATTCAAATATTGTTATTACAAAAAAAATATAAATGCAGCTTATATATAAAGAGTTGATATTGTATTCATTTTTTTTTCATTGTATTAGCGGGAAAACATGTTTTATACAATCTATTTATTTTATTCTATTCTTTTACATTGGACCATTGCTACGCCTCATATTAACCTCTATTATACAGACAAGATAATTGAACATGATGATGATGTATTACAACATAATTGTATATATATTCCTCTGTTTTGGCAACCACGAGATGGAGATCATGAAGCAATCTCTTATTGTATGAATGAATTACCATCAAAATTTAATATTCTGGAAGATGATTTCTTACCAAAGTTTACGTTTGCTGAACTATCCAGAGAGAATATAACCAGTCAACAACTATATCTTTGGTCAGCACCTATAGATGTTGTTGAACATTATGAATTCTATTTGAATCAATCATTAACATCACCTGATCATACATTAGCAAAAGAAATCTTCTATAATTGTACATTGCCTAGATTTGGTCCGATGTGCCAGTACGAATTACCTTATGATAAGCTAGACTCCGTATCGTTACATGAATTCAACCTATATCTTGGTGGATTTCATAATCGTGATTCAACTAATTTAACCTGTTATATTTATATACCATGTGATCGTGGCCCGTTTCCATCTTGTTTAGATTGGACTGAAGTTTGCGATGGAAAATTCGATTGTCTCAATGGAAACTTTGATGAAGAATATTGTTCGCAATCGGAAATTACTGAATATAAAGATAATGAATTTCGAGTAGATGCAGAACAAAGTGTATCACAATCATTGTATTCACAGGATTACTCTAGTACTGAAAATCTTTTCGATTCTGTTAGCGACTATACTGAATGGTCTCGCAAATATGATGGATGTATTGGAAATGAACCGTCATTGAAATGTGAAGATTACATATGTAAAAATATACCATTAACAAGTTCCTGTTCGACACAACGTCAGAAACGATTACTAGAAGCAATATTTTCCATCAAAAATCAAAATGTATCTGATCATTGTTGGTCAGCATTCAAATGTATTATTATATCGAATGGTTTGATCTCAATTTGTAATGATTTTTGTAACGGTGAAGATTGTATTAAAATCATTGAAAATGAATGTCCAGATATGTTTTATTTTCCTGCTGTTCCAGTTCTCTTTGGTCACATTTATCTGGCTTATGAAAAAAAATGATTCAAAAATTTTCAATAAAGGAACATTTCCATATCCTTATGTATGCTATAATAATTCTCGATATGATAATTATTTTGTTGGGCGTCCAAAGTTATCATTCAAAAACACAGTATGTTATCGTGATTATTACCATTCTCCTTTATCTATAGAAATAAAGCTCTCGATCGAAAATTACTTGTTCACCGCACACGAATTATTGGTACGGTATAACCAAGCTTTGACTAATACTTCTACATCTGATTGTCCTCGGGGCGATGATGAGAATTCACTTGTAATAGATGCCAATAGTCTAATAACTGAAGAAATGTCTACATGCGATGATAAAATTAATGTACTCAGTGAAACTCTTCTATATACAAGAAAGAATATTTCTTTTCAAACTATTTGTGATGGATATACTGAGTTATACCCAGTAATTATTGATGGACGAAATGAAACCGATGAAACTGAATGTCAACAATGGCCATGTGATAATATATATACTCATTGTGATGGTTTTTATAATTGCTGGAATGGTGCGGATGAACTTGGCTGTAATTCCTCGCCACTATTAAATTGTCCTCTTCATAATCATATATGTGTTTCACCTATTACAAATCAATTTATGTGTTTACCGATTACAAAGGCGAATGATGGTAAAATTGATTGTCTGGGTGCAACTGATGAACAACGACTGTGTCGAGTAAAATGTTCACATCCAAATCTATTGGACTCTACGAATTTTTATTGTATCTACCAAAACTCTGGAAAATGTATCGATTCTAAAAATCTATGCAATAAGGAGAACGATTGCGACAACGGAGATGATGAGCAATTTTGTAGAAAAGAAAGTACAGCAGCAAGTGGAAGTCTTGATTGGTTGCTTCACAACACATTTCCAACTAATGTTGAGAATTTTTTACGTGAAAGTTCGACTAGCAGACCAAAACCATCAACCGTACGTTTTACACTCAATGAAAAAAGTCATCTGATTAAAAATAGTCGCACATATCCCACAAAAACAAGATCTACATTCATACCTATTCTCATCATGCCACCGCAACGTCAATATCGATGTTTCCGTGGTCTTGATTTAAATGTTTGGTTGAATAAAAAAATTGGTATATCGTCAGGCACATGTCTCTGCCCACCTAGTTATTATGGTGATCAATGTCAATATCAAAATCAACGAGTAAGTGTAACGAGCGCGTTTCGAACATTATCGGACTCTTGGGAAACACCATTTGTAATAATTATTTCACTTATTGATAATAGTGATGAACGAATTATTCATTCACATGAACAATTTACTTATTTATTCATAAGAGATTGTGAATTGAAATTTAATAATTATTTTATTTATTCAACTCGACCTAAAAATCAAACTAAAAAATATGCAATTCATATTGATATTTATGAACAAATCTCGTTATCTTATCGTGCAAGTTTTTTGTTTCCAATTACTCGGCCATTTTTACCGGTACATCATCGAACATTTATAATAGATATTCCACGAAGTGATAATGTTCAAACATGCTCAAGTCGTTATTGTGTTCATGGAAAATGTATAAAATATTCAAATAATCAACAAGCAAATAGTTTTTGTCGATGTGAACCAGGATGGTCTGGGCGTTTATGTACTATTTCTCATAATTGTACGTGTTCATCTGATTCATTATGTATTGGTGTATCTGCTAATAAACGATCGATATGTGTATGTCGCATACATAAATTTGGTACTCGATGTTTTATCACCAATTCAATTTGTCAAACAAATGATAGTTCAACATGTAACAATCATGGTCAATGTATTTCCTCAGATGCATATAGAACATCACAAAGACCATTTACATGTATTTGTTCAAAAGGTTTTAGTGGTGATCAATGTGAAATTGAAGATAATAAAATTATTCTATCATTTAACAAAGATATTAAATTATCACAATCATTATTTATTCATTTTATTGAAGTTAGAAATAAAGATACTCCACTAAGAATAACTACACATCAAACTATTCCTTTTATACAGCATGATTCACTTATTATTAAATGGTCACGTCCATTTCATATTGTTTTTATTGAACTTTCTAAACAGAATTATTATTTAACAAGTGTTGAAAAGATTTATAATCAATCATCAACAATAACTAAATTAATACAACCATCAGATCGTTGTTATCATATAAGTGAACTGTTTAATGAAACTATTTTCAAATTTCATCTTCTTCGTCGTATAAAATATTATCATTTACCATGTCAAAATTCATCATTTAATCTCTCTTGTTTTTATGATGATATTCATCTTTGTTTATGTTATGATCATCTTGAAACACGTTTGACTAACTGTTTCCAATTCAATCATAGTATGACATTTGATTGTTCAGGTGAGAATGAATGTATCAATGCAGGACAATGCTTTCAAGAAACAGTACGCTGTCATAAAAGATCAATGTGTGTTTGTCCTCTATGTTTTTATGGAAGATATTGTCAATTTACTACTAGTGGATTTGGTTTATCACTTGATAGTATTTTAGGTTATCATATTCGACCACATACTACTATTACACATCAATCAAACATTGTAAAAGTAAGTATAGCATTAACTGTAATCTTTATTTTAGCGGGTTTTATCAATGGTATACTTGCAATGATTACATTCAATAATAAGAAAATATGTGAAGTTGGTTGTGGGTTATATTTATTAGGTTCATCCATAACTACTCTACTTATAACAATTCTATTTGGATTGAAATTTTGGATACTTATTCTAGCACAAATGGCAGTTATATCGAATGAATTATTTTTAAAAATTCAATGTATTTCTCTTGAATTTCTTCTTCGAATTTGTCTTAATATGGATCAATGGTTAAATGCATGTGTTGCTTGTGAACGAGCTATAACTATAATCAAAGGTACTCGTTTTGTGAAAAGAAAAAGTAGACAAGCAGCTAAATTAATTATTGTTACTCTATTGATTTTTAATATTACCACATTGATTTATGATCCTATTTATCGACAGCTACTCGAAGAAAAGAATAATGATAATGATGATGAAAAACGAATATGGTGTATTGTCGATTATTCACCTAGCTTACAAGTATTTAATTCTATAATGCATATTTTTCAATTTTTTGCTCCATTTATGATTAACTTGATTTCAGCAATTATTCTTATAACAAAAAAATCTCAACAACAATCAAATGTTCATACTAAACGAAACTTTAGAGAAATTTTACGAGAACAGTTCAGACAACATAAACATTTATTGATTGCTCCTGTTCTTTTAGTTATTCTTGCAATACCACGTTTAATTATTACTTTCACATCAAAATGTATGCAATCAAGTAATGAGTCATGGTTATTTCTTATTGGATATTTCATTACATTTATTCCACCTATGCTTACTTTTGTCATATTCATCCTACCATCGAAATTTTACAAAAAAGAATTCAAAACAACTATTACGCAATATCGAACCAATGTAACGAAACGTTTACAACGACTAGTATGACGATCTATGCATAAAAGTGTTGTTTGTATATGTAATCTTGGTACACATCCTCTTTTTTCTTTTGTTTTCTTTATACCTACTTCAATATTGTACTTTACTTCTCTTCGTATTTTTTTCTCTCTGATGGGCGCGTATAGAAGTGTATGAAATCGATGAAATTCTCGATAAAAATAAATATAATAAAGTGTAATACTATCAGAATAATATACACATTGCGTGCCTGTTCGATAATAGTTGGTATGGATGTATCTTCTCTTAACCCGCACATATAACTTCTGTATGTGTTATTCACAAGAGTCTTCTAAGTAACGTGGTTTGTTATCTTTTTTCTATTATCTATAAACAATTGCATCTTTACTTCAGTATATATTCTTATCTTTACATTTGCATTACTAAGGTGTCCGTTGTTGTTTTATTTTTAAAAAGTTTCCATCAAAAGGCATCTACACTTTGAAACGTTAGAATTCTTCGCAAACTTCACGTATTTTCACACATAAAAGGTAAGGTTACAGTCATGTATATGGTGAGAATCAAGATTCTTAGTAAAAATAGAAGAATTTTATGTGTCCAAACAAACTGAAATACTTCATGATAAATATCCAAGCTAATGAATATACTTAAATTCTGACATTTCTTTGATCGTTTCAGGATGGATCGTAATCATATCGTTCGTTTACCTGTGGACATTATATACGATATTTTTGATTATTTACCAGCTCATGAAATCTTGCTGGCCTTTTCTGATATCAATCCATTTTTCGATACTATACTGTCTACTTATCCACGCTACCGATTAGTTTTTAAATCGATCCTGAGGCCACATTTTGATCTTGTTTGCAATCGAATTTCACCTGGTCAAGTCATCTCATTGACGCTATCGGATCTTGACGATACACCAGGTCAAACAGAGTTATTTTTCTCACGCTTTCAAATAACAGACTTCGATCGAGTTCAATTCCTCACTTTGATCAATATTGAAACTGCATCATGGGAACATATATATCCTTATTTAAAGAAAATTGATAGTCATCATCGGTTGATAATTGTGTCAACCGATGTTGATCTATTGCCTCATGCGCAGCTACTATTGTATTCTAGTCAACTACAAATTAATGCCGCTAGTCAATTACAAACACAACAATTACCTCATCTTCGCTCTTTAACTGTGTCACAGTCTTCGATCGCTGAATTAAGGACAATCTGCGCATCTGCCATGCAGCTCACGTCTCTTAAAGTTCACAAGATGATCTTTAACGCAAACGATGAGCTGTTTTTACCAGCGCAGCAATTAAAATATTTAGTCTTGAATTTAGATGGTAAGCATTTGTATTAATTGAAAGACTAATATGACTAAATTATTAGATGTACCTGTTCCAATGGATCACCTGAATCATCTACTCTTAAATCTTCCTCGACTCAAACACCTTGAACTATCAGCAACAGGATCGATGGATCTTATCGATGCCAAAAAATGGGAAACGATAAGTCGTCAACTTATTACGTTCCACTTTGATTTTTCTATACAGATTGATGGGATCGAAGAAATTCTTGATTCATTTCGCACATCATTTTGGATTCAGGAGAAAGAATGGTTTGTGGCATGTACACGGGAACGTCTATTTTCAGTTCCATACTATTTAGATACATGTGCGAATACTTCTTTTCGACCACCTATATATACCACGGCACGTAAAGAGATCTTATTCTTTGATCATATCAATCATTTCATCATAGATAATTCCTCTACAATCCATCCACACTATTTTCGTTACTTAAAGACTTTAGAACTTCAGGTTTCCAACGTATTCCAACACTTATCGGCACTCATCGATCTGAGCCAGATAGAAACTTTAATTATCTCGTCTAAAGTTGATCGATCGACCATTTCCTCTCTACTAAAATTAATACCTAATCTACGACAATTGTCAATAAACACTGAACTTCGAAACTTTCTCGCACAAACTAAAAATATGCATTTGGAACACATTCGAACATTAGAAATCAAGGAAATGCTAGGAAGCGGGGATTATTATATTCTCGAACAACTAGGTCGACTATTTCCAAAAGTAGAAGTTTTACATGTAAATTCCATTAATTGGATAACAGGTATTGCTCATTTGATTGATAATTTCTCGAACTTGTTAAATGCATCAATTCGACTTGAAATATTGTTGCCAGCTAATCAATCGAATCGAAAACCTGAAATAGCGATTGCTATGAAAAAAGCAGTGATTAATGAAAGCAAACGTCTGCAACATGACACATTCACTTGTCGACACAGATCTGATTCGACTATAGATCAGAATCAAGCGATATTTTTAGATTTTTGGATGACAAAGAATCAGGTCAGTTTTTTTTACTACAGTATACATTTTCATTGATTAATATTTCTTTGATCCAGGCATTGGAAACTCCCTATAATAGAAAGCGGCTACCACGAAGAGGATACAATTATTATTGGCTGAATGACTTGCTTAATCGGAACATCTTTTTAAGATTACTTACATCCACTTTATATTCATATGTACTAGAATTCGCAATCCTATATGCTATATTGATTCATGCAGGCCAATGGTATACTGTATTCATTTTATTGGTATTTCTAGTTTTGAACTCCAAGCTCTTGAAGTATTGGAAAGATCCACTCGCTACAAAATTAATCTTGGCATTCGGTGTCAGTTTGTATGGAGTACTCAACTACAGGATCAGTGGAACATGGAATTCGCTCTTCTTCTATAATATATACTGTTTCTTGTGCAATCCCTTGAAATTTACATTTGGTCCAGACTCTGGCTATCTTTTAATCAATTTCTATATATTCCTCTGCTTGTGGCTGGCTAAATGCATTGAAATGTGTTGTTCACATACATTTATTGCTTCATCTACCCAGCTATTTCGGAAGATTGGCGTTGTCTGTCTCCTAATCGTCAATGTTTTCATCGTTCTGAAACATCCGATCTCATTCATATCTTCTTTTCTCTTCACATCTTATACGTTAACTTATTGCTTAATTGCCATAGCTTTCTTTTCAATTGGATGGTTGATTAAATCACGCTGAAAATACCATAAAATCTTCCTGAACTATTAAACTTTGATTAATCGAACGTGAAAAATTTCCCTTGAAAAAAAGACACTTGGTCTTCCGAGCTATACCATTTTTTTTTTGATAATAGTTTCATAATCATTCTTAAACACTGGAAATTCAATAAAATTAGGAAGAGAGAGTGTGTATTTGTGGCTTAAAAGAAAATGTATATTCATGCTCACACTCATCCTTGAGTTTTGATAAAATATGTATATTCATGATGCATTTCTAAGATGAGTACTACATGTGGAGATTTTTATTATTAGTTATAGAACAAAGTCTAAACCAGGGTGTGAGTGTGAGTATGAGAATTTAAAAAGAAGTGCAGCTGCATTCACACGCATACCCACACCCACATCTTCTACTAATGCATTTTGGAGTCTTTATCTTGTAATTATTTTCTTTTATTATCGTTAGTATATTTATGAAACACAAAACAAAAACACATGCTAGTATCTTTTCTAAATATGCTTGTAAAGTATGCCATCTAAATGTAATTAAACGAGCTTGAATGCATTGAAAATAATACTACCGACATGAGATGATATGGATGCGTGTGAATTATTTCGATTTTCTATAATTTCTTTGATAAATTTTAATGGATTAGAAACAAACCGGGCTTGATTGATTTTTAAGTCATTACGATGTTTTGAGTCGCTTACATATCCATCGGCGCCAATCCAACCGTTCTCGAATGCTTGTTCTTCAGTTTTTGTTCGAGGTTTAGGACACAAGCTCAGACAATGACAGAAAGCGTTTTGTTCATCTTTTGTTTCAAAGTAGAGAGTTCCATTAAAGACAAACAACTGAACTAAGCACTCGAGCGACACATTAAAAATACTATCTGTGTTAGATTGGTCAATTGTCGGTGGAATTGTAAGGCTTGGAGTATTCACAAAAATAGATTGAGTTTGTTTAGTACGCGGTAACAATAAACGTAATGTAGTAATTGATGAAACGTCAGATTGCTGTTGAAGATGAAAAGTCTTTAACTTACCCATCAACCAGTTCGCTTCTAGAGCATTGATAAAAATAAAGTGACGATTTCTATAGACGAGAAGCCATCGTGGAGGACGTAGAAATGAATTGAGTGATGTTCCTTTGGTTGTAATTACACGTTGAAATTCTGTAGAAACCCATAAATTTGATTGCCAACTATTCTGTTGACAATCATTAAACCATGTTGTCTCAGTAAACGCGTATGCCAAAGGGCGAAATACATGAGGAAACTGTGCAAGATTCATAGCAGTACATTGCATGTCACATAATCTTTTGATTTCTTCATGTAGTACTGCTTTATACGGTTCTACTGATGGAGAACGTTCTATATGCCGTTCTTCTTCTAATTCTTGTTCAAGTTCTCGTTGTTGTTCTTCATCTAATAACTGCGATAAACGTTGTTTTGTTCCACCATAGTCTATCAATCGCTTCAACACTGCATCTTGAATTTCTCGTGATCCATAACCAGTGATTAGACGATAACGAGCAGAATGCAGTTTGAAAATTGTCTGTAGTATTTTGGAAGCACCATACATCTCTCTGAGATGAATAACTTCAGGTTCTAAACAGTCTCTAGCTAATTTTTCCATGATGCTTGTAGTAAACTCTTGTTGATGGTTGTTCCAATCAACATATTGGAATGCAGCAATTTTTCGTTGGAAACTTAAACTTTGTGCAGCCCAATGATGTAGTCCTTCCCATGTCGATTGTACAGTATTTTCATAGACCCAGCGAAGAATATCTCTTACAGTAATTTGGGTGCTCATACTTCTTGTAACTAACTTTGTCGTTAGCTTTATAATCTGTTGATGAACTTCATGTGAACCCAAAAATATTAAAGAATGACCATTTCCCAGTTTTCTCATTCTCATACATGCTTGAACAAATCGATCTTTTGTTAAACCATTTCCTAGCGTGACTGCGGCTCGAAATTCTCGTGGAAATTTAAAATCAGTTCCTCTTGTATGAATATCATCCAGATAAAATATACAACGATCTAATCTTTCGCTTGCAGGTGATGTTATAAATGGATGATCACGACATTGCCGATCATAGACAACTATGGAATCTGAATCAAAATAAACTACATATTCGATTTCAGATGAAGATGACATATTCAGCCATTGAACTGCAATCTCTCGATTACTTCCATCAACAAACAACGCGCCAACATCTAAGATCACATTGATTTTCTCCTTATTATTTATAATGCGCTTTAAAATCTCCTCTGAAGTAACATTAATAGGTAGGGATTGGTATCTGTCATTTTCCGGTTGTAATAGATTGTTAACAACGATAGCATCTGTCTGTTGAAGTTCAGGTAGATCGTATTGACGAATATGAATGGGTAATAGTAACTGTGTATCGTTTGTACCACTAAATCCAGTGATATTTTTTGATCGTAATGATGAAGATAAATCCCAAGCAGATGCAACTAATTTAGAAGGAAACTGTTTTGCTTCACGAGGGAAGACAAAATGATTAAGGAAATAATTAATGACTAACATATTATATCGTAATGTAGGAAAAAGATCATGAATTCTTTGATGATAATCTTTAAGATTAACACCTTTCCATTGTTTAATACTTGATGGTATATTGTCATCTTCTTCATTCGAAATCCACTGATTGTAAATTGATGCAGGATCACTTTCTTCGTCACTCAAACGGCCAAAACATTGAATTAATTGTAAGTCATTGAGACCAGAATAATAATATGTAAAATATGTTAAAACAAGTGCAACATCGGGATGACCGAATTCAGTTCTATCAGCTGCAACATCTTTTGCACGAAATGGTACTGCCATTAGCCGATTAAAACAAGGGTTTGGATTAACTCCATAATTAACCCGATGGCGTTTTTTCAGTGCAACTAGCAAGACTTCAGACGATAATAAGCCGCGAACAATCAGAAATGACAGAATATCATTTTGGGAAAATTTACCTTCTAGACACTCAATTGATGAATATGTTTGTAAAATGAACGAGACGACAATTTGTTTATCGACTTGTCGATAAGATTTTTGATTCAACCAATCATTGGCTATCTTTTTACACAATGTTGAGAAAGGAAGATGTGATTGCAGACGAAACTGTGGAAAAGCGCTTTTCCGTTCTGCTGATTTGTAACAAACTTCTTTATTAAACTGTCTTGAGATATGTGAAGCGTATTTTTTAACTAATTCAAGTATTGATTGAATAGTTTTCCACCGTTGTGCACCTCCATCAACTTGTTGTTGACCACCTACAGTGTATATCAACTGATATTTGACATGTAGAATTTCATCAGATTCATCTAGTACATCACGCACATTTGCTTTTAACCATCGTTGAAGTGTTAACATTGAACAACCAGCCGAAAATTCCTTTCGTCGACATTTATCTATGGTGAGTAAGTCAAAGGATAGAATATCTTCTGGTGAAGTTAATATAACATCACAATTATCTAGTGCTTGTTTAAGACGATTAGAAATTTGATTAATCTGGCCATCACTATAATTTAGATCACGACGACATGAAAATGGAAATATCCTTCGATTGAGTAAACCACCTAATTTATATCGTAACGATTGATAATTTGTTGGAAATAATGATTTAAGTACAATGATACGAACTAAACTCGAATGAGATGAACATAAACTAACAGCTAACATAGGTAAAATAACTGATGTTTTTCCTTCACCCATATTCATTTGCATGACAATACTTTTCACTGTTGAATCGTTAATTGTCATTGTATGTTGCATCATATGCTGTGCGACTTCGATCTGTATATTTCGAATAGTGATATTCATTTCTAATTCAAAAATCAGCCATGATACATATTTTGACGGGATCCAATTTGAATGCGGAATATTAGAAATTTCTTTTCTAAAATCTTCCAATTTCTGATGAATACAAAAATGTAAAGCTCGCTCTAGTTGCTGTTCTAGCGTCCAAGAGACGAGAATACCACCTAATAATGTACGTTGTTCTTCAGTCAAATCAAGGGTCGTTAATTTCTGTTGCAAGAGAGAAATGAGGGTTGTTCGTGTTATTCTTAATACTAGACCTGTGTCGAATAATTGCTTATTGGATAATGTAATCGATTTCACTAACTCATTCCAGCTTTCTGTTGATTCTTCTTGGAAAATTTTGAGAAGTTTAATCAGTTCGTCAACCGAAGGATCAACTTTTTCAATTTGTTCTTTCGAAAGTAGTTTTGTCCAGCTTTCATTCAGTTGATTTTTAAAATAATTAGTTAGTTCACTGAAATGATCGTTTTGATTGTTAATCGAAGGGAAAATGTCTTGTGGAAATGCATTTTGTCGTTTATCAGCTTGCAAAGAAATGTTTGGTTTGTTGAAATGACCTCGATAAGTATGATGAAAACGTAGTTGTGCATTATGTAATATTTTTTGATTAATTGAGTTCTCAGTTAATTTGACTTGTATGTGATGATGATTTTCAATTAATTCACATCCAAACTTTTGAGGATGATATGTTACTTTCATGCTGAACGTTTCTATGTTAACAGAAGAAAGAATCTTTTGAACAGTTTCTACGAAAGATCGTAGCTGTTTGTTGTTTTGCCAAGACGTTAGCAAACTGTTAATTTCATTCTTTCTATAATCATCCATCTTCTTATTTGTTGTTTCATAATTACGATTCCGGACGAAACAATTCTCGATTTCTAACACAATTTCATTTTCCTCATCTGAAGTACAAAACCATGGGAAACTGATACGTGCTTTTGTAACTGAAATTTCTTCGATATTTTGATAACTAATAAATGGAGGAAATGTAATGCATTGTAAAGAAATAGTAGGAATTTTTAACGCTATTTTTAGCATTTGTAAATAGAACGGTTGAATGTTACATTTTTTAGAAATGTAATGAAGAAAATCGATCAGTGTTATAAATCGTTGAGTATCGTCTGTCAGGTGTCTAGTTGTTTGATTCTTTGAATTGGCAATCCATTTCAATAAACCAATCCAAATATCTTTCAATCCATTTTCATCATCTACCCATTTTGATAGGGGCAACCAATTCTGTATTGAAAAATCTCTCAGATTGACACGCCCCGTAGCATACATATCATTTGCAAGGTGAAGAGCACTATAGTTAACGGCATGCGAAAAGTGTTCTGAAGCCGATTCATATCTTTTTGCTACTAATGTACGTTGTATGTCTGCTTCCATGTCTGGAAACAATCTAGCCATAGGATTGTATGAATCTCTATAGTCCCAATAGAGTTTTTTTAGTACAACTTCATCATACGCTTTATTTTGAAATAATGCGGGTATTTCATGGGTAGCTAATGATGGATACATAAAGTTGAGCTTTTGACTGGCATCGATTAAATGTTTTGTGATCAAATAATAACCAAAATGTTGCATCGAATATGGTAAACCATTTGTATTCCAGTATATGTTAATCATACAAGTGAGATGTTGTGGATAATAGTTGACTTTCGGTGAAATAGATGCTATTTGAGTAAGAATATTAAGCGAAATTGCATCGAAAGGTTGATCTGACCTACAGCCAGCTGAATTTAACAATTGAAACGAACGTTCCATTCCAGTCATTCCAGTATATTGATCGGGTAAGGGATGAGAGGTCATTGCATGTAATAATGCTAAATAAAGCCAACCAGTTGGGCTATCAGTAGACTGTAGAATACGTAACCGTTCATTGAGAACGAAAACAAAATATTGATGTGGATATAGTGTCGACGATGAACGCTGAATCGCAACAGTTTGCGGGCTATTTGGTAGAGTTTCTGAGCTGCAAACATTTCCAAAGGGAACAATTAGCTTTTGATATGGGTAGGATTCCAATATATGATTATGAGTTGTTAATGGTGATAAAAGAAGACCAGATGTCAAACCTGTTAATGTTTCCAACCGTTGATTTTGAGCGACACACATGTCTGAGTATTCACGAGATGTAATCGTCTTAGTTTTATCATTGTATTGAAAGGCAATACCTAATCGAGATAAATGAATATGGATAATGATGTCTAGCTGGGAGATAGTGTCCCGCATCATGTAGACATATGACTGGCCATCGAGACGAATAAAATATCGAGAAAACAAGTTTTGAAAGAATACTGATGCTTGATTGATTAAGCATTGGGTGTTATCAGTATGAGTAGTAGTAATATATCCTGTATCCATAGATAGCACATTCGGTTTATCATCTAAAAATTTGACATTTTGAAAACGAACAGGTCGAAACTCAAGCTGTCGATCTTTGGCGTTGTACCAATGGCTATGATTGACGACAAATGTATCTGGTAATTCCTTTTCGAAACAATGATGAGGAATCAATTGAAACACATTGTTTGACTTTAGATGGCGCTCGTTGATTATTAAACGGTTGATTTGATCATCAAAACGAAATTCATAGAAAACTCTTTCATTATGATAAGGTTGTTTAGTGACATATGTGTGAGGTGATTCAGCTGCTTGAACTTCAAATATATAATTACCAAATACGCGTGCAAATAGTTCATTCGAAGTAATCTTTTGTGGTAAGAAACCTATAGTCATTTCATCAACGAGAAACATTCCTCGAATACAATCAATTGATACATGTCTTGATTCATATTGGCAATCGTACCAACCATCATATAAGTCTGCTTTTCGTTTCTTCCATTGTCCATTCATACTACTTTTGCCTCTGATAACTGCCCAATAAATAGTTGCAAAGTCATTCAAACTTTGATAAGATGTTTCTTGAAGAAATTTGGCAATTGTTGGTTGCAACGTTATTAAGACACGTTCACTAAATTTCATCATATTATTCATGAAAGTACTCATGGTCGACATATTTCCATTTAAAATAATATTATCTTGAACTGTAGTTGCTGCTTTCAACAAAGATAAGACATGCTCATTTGAAGACAACAATAATTTGATGCGATCTTCATGAGTTGAAAATGTCATCAGACAGCAAATGCCAATGTTCACCATCTTCTCACGAAGTTTTTTCACTTCACTAAGTGCTGATGGAGAAACACTTTGAATGCTGGTAGAAATCAGATGGATCCACTTTTCACCAACTCTGCGACATTTTTTTGCTAAATTAGCAACTTGATCGGCTCTTGACTTATAGCAAACTGTCAAAATCTTCATCGTCACCATCGTAATAACTATTAGCACCAGCTCATTTTGCCAGTTCAATTCACAATTATCTAAATGATGATCTAATCTTGAGAATAATTCATCGACAAAATGATGTTCTAATAGATGTTGACATGATTCTGGACACCAAGGATTCAAAGATTTATTTTCATTTGTTGTTAATGGACCGTTTTGTAAAATGGAATGAATGATCAGTATTGCTACACTTTCTTCACCAATGGATAATGAGTCCATTTCAAAAATCGTTAAGAGATTCCACCATTGTAATCGATGACCCGATCGAAATGAACCGAATTCCACAAATTGTGTAGGTTTCATCTGTGGTGGACAATGAGATAGTTGAGCAATGACATCGTTTTGTACGAACTGCGTGGTATCTAGAGTGAATTGTAATTGTTTGTAATGTGGATGATCTAACTGAAATGTTAATATACGACATTCATCTTCTAGTTTAGACGGTTTGGTTGGCGGGATTGCAACTTTCAGACTGTTCTCAAATAAAAAGCGTTCGACTGACGAAACTATAGACGGATTGGAGTAATGGGATTGCGTTATAGATTTGGTAGAAGATACTAATTCCACTTTGCATTTATCTGGACCTGAATAGAACGGCCCTAGCTTTCCTTTATGAGGAGGTACAGTCAGCCATTTATACATGTTATGTGATGGATTTGGATTTGGACGGTTAACAAATTGCCAAAGAATATCTCGATAACATCTTATTTCAATAGGCATTTGCAGCTCAAAAATAACGGCCAGTGCGCTCTCCTGTGCCGATGGCATTGGACATTCAAAAATTTCCACGCTAATGCTATCAGCCTGTCGCTTAATTCTACACTTGTCACATAGACTGAAGACCCTATTACATAGGTGTTCACATGTACAAGAAAGATTGCGTATTGAATTGATAAGTTGTTCATATTTTTGCTTGGCATCTTGGACTTCTTTTATTTTCAATAGTTTATCTCGTTCAGCCTGAACTCTTATCTGTCGTATGTTGTCGTTCATCGTCGACGATTGAGACGCATAATACACACCGAATGCATTTACGGATTCGATATTGGTTAGAAGGTCTGGATAGGTTTGACGACTGAATTCATCAAAATAACCATGAAGACTACGTGCTCTGACCATATCTTCTCGATTTGGCAAACTTAAATATTCGAACAAATTCATAATTTTTGGAATGTCAATAGAGTGTAGTTTTAATCGTTCAAATCGTGAATCTTTACAAAGATTTTGATGCATCGAACGAATAAGCGTTAGTGACGTTAGAATAAGTTGACTATAACCGATGGGATTCGTCGAACTTCTGGCTGAACAATACCGATCGAGCGCTGCATTGTAATATTCTTCGAAAAAATCTAATAGAATTTCAAAACGATTTCTCTCATTTTGAGATGCTATTGGACGATTGATCCATTGTTCTAAGCATGATTCAACCCAAGTTTCTATACGAATTAAGGCTATATCGATTGTGTAATTGAATTTATTCGTAAATACTTTGATTGAAGGTATGTAATCTGCTTGATTAACATCTACACCGACATCATGACTATTGATGTTTGAGAGAACTTGAAATTTTGTCGTCGAGTTTTGTTTATTAAGGTATGCTTTTAATTCTTGACACGAGTGACGATGAATATCTGAATGATTCAGTTTAAGGTTGATCATTGATGAATTAGTATTCTTTTCAGTATTCATTCGAAGTGTATTTTGCTGGTTTAATTTCGTTATAACTTCATTGATTTTAGATTCTATCTCTCGTTTGTTAGACCGTATCCATTGGATCACATCATTCGAATCTACTTTCACTGATAATAAACCTTCAATTTTATTCAAGCGCCGTACAATTTTTCTACTGCAGTGAACTAATAAGTCAGTCGAGATGTGTCTGGTGCAAATGATATACGTCAGAAAATAAGTAATCAATACTTTATAAACAATGTTACCGATGTCTCCCAAACGTTTGATAAGTATAGTATGCAAGACTACTTTGATGACCATCCATAAACCTGAACGTCGAAAAGGTAACAATGCGTTGTTCCATCTAATTTGATCACGATGTTTCTTCGTGAATTCAATATAAGTACTGGAATTTTGTTCGATTTTAGTTCCGTCAAAGTGTTGAATCCACCATTGGCACACATAATGTGATTCTGATACATCACGAATCTCATTAACTTCACGTGAAGACTTATATGATTTGGAATGTTCAATAGAATTGTACATAAAATCCATCAATAATTCACAGTGAGCTTTGGCGCTTAGTTGAGATCGATCATGTAGTCTGTATGTTGTTACTGGAAAAGAGGAATTGTTAGGCACAAGAGAAGAAGTAATGTTATGTGCTGGTAATGCAACTTGCCAAGCTGAAATTAGCGGTTGATTAGCTTTGATTTTATCAATTTCAATTAAAATTGCAGCATTCTGTGCATGAAAATAGAGTGGCAGAAAACCTCCTAATGGTAGTTGTTCAATAGCAGATTGTATATTTGAAACTGAAAAGCCTTGTGGATTTTGTAGGACAGACCACCGTTCAATACAATCAGTAAAAAGTGAAAATATTGACAATTTATTTGTCGCGTCAGCTGACTCCAGTAATTTAAAACATTCTGTCATACATTCCAGTAGCTTGTATTCATTTTCGTGCTTGCCTTTGGTTAAAAAATCGCTATCAGCTGAAGACGGTAAATGATGAGGAAGAAACAGATGATTTAAAATTGATTCATCCATATGGTATTAATATTGAAAACAGTCACTGGCTTGTAACATATTCATCGAAAATTTCAAAAATAAGATACAATGCATCAAAAAGCAGCCGTATAAATAAGAGCAGGTAACAGAGAAAAAAAGAAAAAAAAGAAGATAACAGAAAATTTCATATTTAAGCAGCAAAAGAAAAACAACGTTTACGTGACGATAGAAAACGCGCGACAAAGCACATTAATACTACGTTATCGCGTTGTATACAAACAGCAGCAAAACGCGTCGAAAATGGCGTAGTGGGTTTGGGTGTGGGTATGGGTCTGGTTATAGATGCGAAGTCACCTTCTCGTTATCCTCACCCACACTCAGACCCTCGAAAAAAATTGATCGACGGGCATATCTCTATTTTTTTTTTCGCGGAAAGTCGATGTCCTTTTAAAGAGTATACATGAAAAGGCGCCTTCATTTGCATAGCAAGAATTAGATAAGAAAACAGAGAATGACGTACTTTGTTGGCTATCAGTAGCGCGGTTTTTTTTCCAACTTACACAAAGACAACAGCACAAAGTTAATAGACAGGTGAGGTGATGATAAATAAGCAAGCGTTGACGCGAATGTGATGACGTTTTCGACACTTTAATCTAAGTGAATTTGTTAGACATTGCTATATGGCGTAAACGACACTAGTACAATTATATATTCTGAAATATATTCTATACTAAAATGTGTGACTCTCATTATACACTATTTGAATAGTCACATGCTCTTTTTAACCAATACCCATACCCTTTTTTAGTCGAATTATGAATCAATCTCAATCCGGGCGTGAGTCCTTGGGAAATGAGGTGTCCATACCCACACCCGAAAATGTCGGCTAGCTGAGTTCTAAAGATAGTAAAATCAAAATAGTAGTGATTTTGAAGGATCTTTATTTTTTAGAAAATAATGAAAAAGAAGTCAATTAAAAAATAATGATACATAAAACTTTCAGAAGTTATTTTGATATTTGGTTTTTGAAACGTGTTAGTCGAATGGTTAATGGATAATAATATATTTTTGAATGATTTGTATAGAAGATAGAGAAAACTAATAAATGTAATTTTTATACAAAGAGAAAAAGTCACTTAGTGCTTCCAATTGTTATGATATTTTTTTGTACAATAATTTGTACTAAATAACTAATTGTAATTAGCACTTCAAGTTCCACTAACAATACGCTATTGACAATTAAATCATGACAAAAGATGACAAACGTTATATTATCTAATAGAGATTTGATTGGTTCTGGTATTCCATTTGTTCGAATTTTAAACGGTTCTTCAACAGAAAACCATTTAGCTACTCTGTAATATACACGAAATAATCCTAAAACATTATGTGCAATTGTAATTGTAGTAACATTACTATAGCATGATGCAACAATATTATTAACAATTAATGTTCCTTCATTTGTCGTTAAACCATATAATCCAGTTTTATATTGACGGTTCACATTTGTAACTTGGATAAGCTCAAGTTGATGATTTAGATCATTGTGTACATAAACAAAATGTTCTGTTGATTTTACATGATCTGATATTAAATATTGTGTCTTTGAACCATCACTAACAGCCACATAATGATCACAAGTAACAGATAGCGTATATATAGGATTACTTGTTTCGATAATACAAAATAGATCTGACAAAAAAAAATTCATGGTTTATTCAGAATTTCAATTGAAATGAAAGAAAGAGAGAAACTTACCCGTTTCATCTGGATCACGATGAAGCATCATTATAACTTCATCCTCCATTATTTCATTACGATTATTCATTGAATAAACTTTCATACCTGAACGAAGTTCACTAATTGTTGTTATATCTCCATTAACCAGACGAACTTGATCATCACCAAAAAAGCAAGCTAAAACAATAGAGCATAAATTATTTCACTTCATCTTCATATCAAATTAGCGAAGTACACTCTATTTATAATGTTCCTCAACTGTTCTCAAAGTCCTAGTCAGTATTAACTAGAGAACAACCCAAGTTTTTCTTGTTTATCTAAACTAGTGCGTATCCGTAGTAGCAGTGAGAGAACTCAATCGTTATAGTAGCTAAATTCATCGATATTGTTGTAACAGAGAAGCAACCGATCTAGAGATAATACAAAAATATAATAATCTCGAAAAAGAGATTATTGTTGCAGTTAAAAATGATATTTGAATAGCTCTTCGAATTACAAAGATTAGGAGCCTCTTGCAAAACTTGTATTTACAAAACGTTTTTCCTAGCACTTGCATCGAAAATATTTTTGTCTAAAGAAGTGAAGAGTATTAATCTATAATATGGTTTGAATGTTCTTCCATATACAACGAAGGTCATCAGTTTTCTTAATATCAGAGGAATGTACAGTTTTATTAGGGTATCTGTGATTATTATTTCCAGCTAATGTTTAGTTCAAAAAGTTTTCATTTTATCAGACTGAGGAGAGAGTCGATTGAATCACTAGGCTGTTTATTCCTTGTTTTAGGTGAGAACCAATAAAGTGACAAGAGCCTAAAAATGATGAGTAGAGATGCAGGTGTGAACGAAGAATTACTATCATACTAATAACTTCACCTATACTTACTCGTTGTTGTTGTTGTAGCTGTTGCCGTCGTTTTTGTAGTTGTTGTTGTAGCAGTTGTAGTTGTTGTAGTTGATGTAGTTTTAGTAGTTTTAGTAGTTGTAGTAGTTGTTGTTGTTGTTGTCGTTGTTGTTGTTGTTGTAGTTTTAGTAGTTGATGTAGTTTTAGTAGTTGATGTAGTTGTTGTTGTTGATGTTGTTGATGTAGTTTTAGTAGTTGTTGTCGTTGTTGTTGTTGATGTTGTTGATGTTGTTGATGTTGTTGATGTTGTTGATGTGGTTGTTGTTGTTGATGTTGTTGATGTAGTTTTAGTACTTGTTGTAGTTGTTGTCGTCGATGTTGTTGTAGTCGTTGTTGTTGTTGTTGTAGTTGCTGTAGTAGCTGTCGTTGCTGTGGTTGTCGTTGCTGTTGTTGTTGTAGCGGTTGTTCTTGTTGTTGTTGTTTTAGGTACGGTAATTACAGCGACAATTATTGCAGCAATACTCGTAGCGACGAGAATGAATGCCAGTGGAAATAGTATTAAGCAGATGGGTGAATATCGGAAACAACTTTTATTGGAGCTTGTAAGAGAAACATTTTCAAAGTTTACTAATAAAAATACAAAAAAACCAATTATTTACCATATCTTTTTATTTGTATTCGACGTTTGGTTATGTATATCTTTGAAATTCACTTCATTTGACCATGAGTTAGTTGTCTAAATTAATTTAAGACATTACGCCGTTATGGCTGATGCGAGTTGCTTCATACATATTCACAAGGTACTGTGTTGAAACTCGAGAGTGTGGATGTGGGTATTATATTTACGTTTTACCTAAATCAACACCGTCACCCATCTCAGGAACTTGAGACCTCAATCAGATGAGATGCCTTATATAATGCGTGTCGTTCTGACCCTGTATAGTAATATCTTTACATGAGGCATCATTATTACTGAAATAAAATTCATCGTTTGCTTTTCTGCTATCTCTACAATAAAGTCCCGATTGACATTTTTTCATTAAAAACATTATTGAATAATAACTCTGTCGAATTTTGTATGAAATTAGATTTGTCGATCATTTTTAAAAACATTTAATGAAGATGTATATCCTTTTAGTAAGAATCTGTTCATAGAATGAAAATAAAACATTTCCTAAATCTTCAACAAGGAAGATTTTTCTTATTTTGCCGTCTCACCTTTGTTGATGGCTGATAATGTTGATTAATTTTTGCGGTATTGGCAGCGTGTGTTTGATTGTTTAGTAATTTGTCAACATTTTGAGTAGTAGTTGGTTTTGTGGATTCATCCTGAGCTGTAGTGAATGTTTCACGGTTGATCTCTTGAGTTACGACGGGTAATGATTTATTATTATGTTGATGAGTAACCAAACCAGTTGACATCTATTTGGACAAATAAAAAGTATAAATAGTTTGAGATTTTAAGAATCTAACCAATGGCGAAGCGTCTTTCGGATTGATAGACTTGCTTTTCGTCGGATGAATATTGTTTATTTTCGATCTATTGGTTTCATGAATGACAGTAGGATATTGTCTGTATTTTGCTAATGAATGAGGATGCTAGATTGAAATGATTTAAGCGAATAAAAAGAGAAATTGAAATAGTGCACTACAAACTTGACGAGAAACTTTGGAGACAGTTGGTACAGATAATGAATGATGGTATGGAATACTGTTTGCTTCTACAAGCGTATTAAATAATACTCGGCGAGGAGGATCAACTTGTGTTTTTTCTATAATCATTGGCTTGCTCTTCATTATAGTATCGCAATTCATATGTTAATTGTTGTATTCAAAAAGAAAAGAAATGTTTTGTATTTTACTGCACTGACGTATTGTTTATATATTGTCGACAAATGAAAGAAAATACGTCGTTATTTATACAGCTTGCAAGTTTCTTGATCATGAGTTGCAGGCTGTACAAAGGTTTCCTATTCATATATGTGAACTGCTCAGTTTTCATTAAATTGCTTTTCTAAAAAAAAAAAAATTAATTACGATATGTTCATGTTGACATGTAATACAAAATAATTATTTTTATGTAAATAAAGTAGCATCGCAGGCAGGAATAACTTGAAATGCTGCAAAAAAGTACGTTGTCTTTTCTCTTTTGCATGTAACATGCAAACAAAGGTCGTAGACGAGTACGAGTATGAGTACTGACCCCAGAGTACTCGTAAGAGCATCGACACTCAGAGTATAAATGAGTGTGGGTTACGGGTGTGCGAGGGAGTAGAGATCGGGGGGGGGGGGTGAGCATGAGAATGATGCTAATGAGAGATAATGATCACCATCACACCCTCACCTTCAACTCAACCACATCGTCGCCCACACCCTCAAGATGGTTATTATAAGAACTCATTTTCCGATTCGATTTATCTTTACTTTTGTCTTCTAAATGCTGAGCAAATGCAAGTCTGTATATTACTCCTACCAAAACTATCTGGAGGGTGCGGGTGTTTCTTTTTTTAGCTCAGATCCATAGCCACATCACACCCACAGACCCACACCCACGTCCACACCCACACCCACACCCACACCCACACCCATACCCATACCCACACCCACACCCACACTCACACTCACACCCACACCCACACCCTCAAGATGGTTTCTTTTTGAAGAAAAAAGATAGAACAATGTTTTAGAATAAAAAAGTTTATTTAGCTGCACGCTTGTTAATAACATTAGGTTGGGTGTGGATGTGGATTTGGATTGAATATAACTCAAACACACACAGTCAACAGAGCTCAAATACCACAATATATCGTTTCAAAATAATGTTAAATACCAGTAGTCAACTTCGAGACAAAAAATGTCAACAATTTAATTCAGTTTGGTTGGTTTTTTCCTTCATACTTGCTTGCCATTATAAGAGAAGTGACGAAAAAATCATAGTAACAATGAAAATAATCACATCATTACCAAAAAAACAAAAAAAATCAGAGCATACAATCAAAGAAAGTGCCCGTTTTTTTCTTTTCTTGAAATGAAAAGAGCACGGCATATGCATTTTCTTCCATTGTAAATAAAAGGATGATGAAGTTGAAATTGTTAGCCAACAAGCTTTTATTTCAAAAATATTTTTTTCTCTATATCTCCTTTGCTTCTTCCTTGCAATCATTCTTCTCTTCTTCATTTTTTTCGAGTTTGTTTATAACTCACGAGAGAACATGCTGAGATAACCAAGCCGTCTAAATTTCATCTTTTGGCGATAAGTTGATCTCGATAATATATGAAAAATCTGACATGGATGCGTTCCTTAGACCTTCTCTCAGAGTTACAGCCATTTTAGTAGAATTTTAGTCTGTAACTGGCTATGTGTCAACAAATTGAATGACAATATTTCAAGCTGAAATTTACCCAACAGATAATTATACTTGTGAGTACAATGCCCTAAAAATTGTAGCTCAAAAGAATGTTTTCTTCACGAGATTTCGAATCTCATATTTTTTAGGAATTCAATAACTCGTGAGAGAAACATTCTGCTGGGCTGCAAATTTTAGGGCATTCTACACACAAGTATAGCTATTTGTTGATACATACTCATCTACATGCTAAAACTCTACTAAAATGACTGTAACTCTGAAAGAAGGTCTAAGGGGCATATTCCTATCGGATGTTCATATCTTATCGAAGTCGACTTATCGGCAAAAGATAAAATCTAGACAACCTAATCACCTCGGTGTGTTATCGCGTGAGTTAAAATAATAAATTTCTATTATCTGCAGAATGATTTACTTACGATACAACCGGCATTACTATTCATAGTCCAGTATCTGTACAACGTGATCTTTACTTCGATAGCTATAAAACAAAGAAACATACGGTTCAAGGCTATATAAAAATGGCTGATCTCGTAGACTACAAACCGAATTCGTTGAGTAGAGCAACACTTCTTCAGCTCCTGCATATGAACGATACTGATGAAATACGTTTGAATGAAATACGAAAACAGTTTGAACAGTATGAACCAACTTTAATACAAAATTATTTCATAGAGTATATCGATTGCGGAACATCTGAAGATTCCCCTCACTTGGTGAAAATGTTATCTATTGTAGAATGATTGTTGGATTTCGTTTTTGAAAAAAATTGATAATTACTTGCATTTAATAAATCATTCGCTCCTTCTCTAATGTGCAGTCCATCCACTTCGCTATTCCTCGTTGTCCCTGCCGCATTTATTTCTTTCTGTGTCAACATTTATCAACATATAGTAAAATCAAAAATCTTGGTGAGAGTGTGAGGTGTGTGTCTTGAGGGTTGTAGGTGAGGGTACGGTGGGTGGGCGTGCATATAAGTGAGTGAAGGTAATTATACCTACATTCACACCCACACCCTCAATCTAATTAGTTTATGCAGAAAATGAGACCGCTAAATATTATTCGTCCATTCCTATTTATCCCAGAAGTTTGTGTTAAACTATCATCAGTTATAGTTGCTTATTTTTCTGACTGTCGTTCATGAAAAATCTAAAAAATAAGAATGAATTGTAATGAACATTTTTGTTGTGTTTTAATAATAGAACGCAAAATGAATCATTCAACTCTGTGAAGTTATAGTAGTCATCAGAATAATACAATATGAACTTCATTACACAGATAAGAATTTTTATGCCAGTTTTATTTTTGTCACTATGTAATTAGTGTAACATAATTATAATAAGTGTATTTTAAAATGAAAAAGTGAATTTATACATTAGTGTAAATAATTCACATTTAAAATTAATAATGGAAAGGATGACCACATGACGAACAAAATTTTGATGTAATACTTTCTCTAGGTATTCCACATTGAGAACAAAATCCTGCAGCAGATTGATCATAATATGGTGGAGGTGGCATATTATTTTGTTGTGAAGAAAATACTGTTGATTGAGGAACAGCTTGATTGAATTGATATGATAAATTTCCATTTTGTGGAAGATTAGAATGTCCAATTTCAATAATTAACTAAAAATAAGAATAGATTATTTCTCAATAAAATTTTACATAATTGAATATAAACTTACATGGTAAACCAATCTAATTCTCTGACCACGTCCGTATCCTCCAGCCCAAGCTCTAGTTGCATCTAATCGCCAACTACATGGTGTTGGTGTTCGGGTCGAATATTTTATTGATTCATTTGCAACTGCTTGTCGCATTCGAGTCATACGTCTTGTTTGTACAATAAAACATCCACATGATAAGGTTAACATTCCTAAAACAAACACTCCTAATCCAATACCAAGTAATATAGGAAATCCATGTGAACCAAGTTTTGAAGCTGTTAGGCTGCCACTAATAAATAATATCATTCCACCTACTGTACAAATAATACAGATAAGACCCAAAATAAGAAGAGATTTTCGTGAAGAGATTGTTTGATTAATATTATGAATTGATTGCTGAAATTCATCTTGTCTTATTATTCCATTTAAATGAATAGGATAAGTTGAATCAAATTCTGATTTCAAACATCCAGCTGTAACATAAAAACAAATGAGAATTTAATATTCATATAAATATATCTACTTACTCGTAACTAATGCTACTACAACTGCATTTGGATTTACAGGAGCAACGACAACCATTTGTTTTTTTTTCTATATAAATAAAATTAAAATGAATAAAAGCATTGCAATAGGAAAAGAAATTTATGAATAACATGGATTTGTTTTCTTTTCTCCGCTTCTATATATTTAATAGAGAAACACGTTTTTTTATACCAACAGAACAAGAAAAACTATGGAAACTACTGCTCGTCTTCTTGATAAAAGTGAAAGAGAACAACATTGAACGACAAGAAAAAGAAAGAACTGCTAAATAATCATATTTTCTATAAAAAGAAAAGAAAAGTAGAGCATTTATTTGCAGAATAGAAAAAAAAGAGATCGAGTTTTTCATAATAATGAACCTCACATAATGAAATATAAAATTATCATTTTTTCAAGCATGTATTTTGTAAATATGAATGTTTTTCATATGAAGAAATAAAAGCAAAAGAAATAACTGTGATTTCATATCTTACCTATTTTTAATAGTTATTATAGTTGGCGAAGAAGTGAGTTTATAACTTGAGTATGAGCATTTGTATGGCTCTAATCTACACTCTCATCTTCAGAACATTGGTATTGATGGCTGGGAAAGTTTTCAAATTTTTCATTAACCCTCCGGTGATGTTTGCGAGCCCAAGAGACCCGCAACAGTAGTTTTTTGTTTTTTCTACTTTAAGATCTATGCAAATCGAAACGATCTTTTCGCTAATCGTTAATCTTCTAATGACACATAAGAACCATATAAAATTTCTTGCAAAACGATCAGCAGTGAAAAACTAGAGTGTAGATCCGTTTGGATCCCCTGGCAACATTCATGTTATATGGATGATTTTTATTCGTATTACGTACGCCATCTATAATTTCGAAGGTCTATTCATTGAAGATTGATTCGTTTGTTGCTGTCAGTAAGGAATAATATGTTTCTCTATCCTTATCTATCTATCGAAATATTTTCACTATTCTCTTAACTTTTGCTCACGATGATCGTAATCTTTTTTTTTCTTGAAAAATCAGCATGTTACGTACACTAGAAGCGTATCAATGCATCAGTGACTGAAAAAAGATTATGACATAGACCTTGATCTATCTTATATAGTACATTACAGATGAAATTTCACGTTTTTCTTATGTATTAACGTGTGGGTTCACTTGGACCCACATACATCATTCGTGTGACAAAAAGCGAACATCACCGGAGGGTTAATCGACGGCGGATTAACTACCGATTATTATTGATGATAAAAACAAGATGTATAATCTAAACTATGAAGTTATACTCATGAATATATTTAATAAAACATAGATATTAAAAAAATCGTATTATAAAATTGAGTAAAACGATACAAATTTTACGTTGTCAAAGGCATATTAGAAATAATATCATCCATCTTATTGATAATATCAGGTGTATTTAAATCTGTTAAATCATCTCCCTTTGTCATCCATAATACGAAATTATCTGCAAGAATTTCTTCCGGATGAATAATATAACCTGTATTATTTCCAATTTGATCATAGAAATTGCTCGCTTCTTTATATGATAAATATTCCAATGGTTCTAATGGTTGATAAGTAATATCATCTAAGATCAATGTTGTTGCAGTTAAATAATAAAAAAAATTCGTTGAAACTTTAGGATTAAATGGTCGAGATGCATGTAAAATTGGTGTACATTTATATATTTTCTCATTTTTATCATCTTCTTTTTTTAAATTAATATAATATTTCATTGGAATAGGTGCATCTGGATTTGTCATCTTTAATTCATTTAAACTAATTGGAAATTCAATATAATTTTCAATGGGTATTTTATGAAATCCTATACTTGCATATAATTCATCACGAATTATTGAATTCGTATTCCATTTACTCCACATATGAAATAATTCATGAATTAATATTTTATATACTTGTCCAGAAAGAATCATGTTTCGTGGAAGTATAATAAGATCTTGATTGCGACAATATGCAGCATCATTTTCATCTTTACCATTTGTCATAATAAGAAAAATTCGCGGTGGATATATTAATAATTGTAATTTATCTATACAATCTGTGTTAATATTATCAATACATGATGTTATAGATTGAATGGTTGCATCATTCCATGGTAATATTTGTTGTGCAACAAATTTTAAATAATCGTCTGTTGTTGCTGTAGGTGAATTTAATCGTGAATATAAATCAAAACTACTGAAATTATTGGTAAAATCATCGGGTCTTTGTATTTTTTCAATGGCTTGTTCACCAGAGATTAATTCAATAATAGATGAATTTGCATTTTTTAATCTTAACTCTGTGTTATTCATCTTAATAAATTAAAATTAGAAAATCTAAAAATTATACGAACATGAGAACAAATTCAACAGCTAGATTTACGAAATAATTGCAACATATTACTTATGATTTCGCTCTTTATTCTTAACACGTGTAATTGCACGACACCATTGAAAATATGAATGGTAAAGAAAAGAAAAAAATAATCCATATTTACATAAAATATATATATACAAAGAAAGAATCAACAAACGTTTTTATTTCGTTCTCGTTATAACGACGTATTTCATATGAGTCATTACATTCGTTTATTAAAAGTAAACAATAAAAACTAAATACTTCGTTATCCTGAAGTCGAAAAAAGGTTATTTTAAAACTACAGTTTGGATGTAGGTGTGAATTGGAACACAGAAAGCCACACCCTCATAACGACGCTTTGTAAAAATACAGGACGTCAATTTTGAATTAGATTTAAATACTTTTCGATAAGAACTGTTTTTATGTAAAACGTAGCTAATAGGTGAGACAGATTGAATGTCTCAGTCGCTTAATACATTGTATTGAAAAAAATATACCACAAGGTACAGCACGAAAAGCTTTACACTTGACAAAGAACAGCTTATTTAATAGATAAGATAAGAAAAAATAAATTCTTTTACCAAAAACAAAATATCGTGTTCCCACGATCGAAAATTACTTACTCAAAATTTAGTTTATTTTGTAAACACAAAAAAGTATAAATTGTAGAGCTTTTCAAGCTGCATCTATTGATATATTTTCTTTTTTAATACAATGTATTGACTAAGACATTTAATCTGTCAGTCTTTATAAAAATAAAAGTTCTTCAACCATTCAACAAGAAATTGATATAGCTCCGTAAAGACTCTTAGTATGCCCTAAGTACTTTGGTACAAAAAGAACTTGAATCTTCCATCCAAAATAAAAAAATTATAATTTATAAGATTAAATTTTCGCTTTTTAATGACATGAATAATTTATTTGATTCTTGAATATATATAGTTTTTTTTCGTTTCATTGCGTTTTGTTTTGATAGATTTTTGAAGTATCTACGCGTATATAAAATATGAAGTTATTCTCTGGGCAATATATATATAGGAGAAATGCGTTCTTTGTACCCACATGTTTTATTGTTAGAATTCTGTAATTATAAGTCTTATGAATGATACTTAAAATGTCGCAATGTCTGTCCATGCAGCCGGTTGTTGCATTATAATGAAAAGTAATGGCTTTAATTACATGATAATGCAACAGCTGACTATATAAATGAGAACAAAAAAAAGAAGAGAAAATTATAGTAAACCGAGAGAAAAAAGTAGTATTTTTTCAGAATAAAAATGTAACTTAATGAAAAGAATTGTCTAATATGATTTTTTTGATAAATGAATAACACATTACTCAATGTAACAATACTCTCACGTTCTATTGCATGTTACTTTTTTAAACAAACACAAGAAAGTAAGAAGGAATTACTTTCTATTCTTAGATTATTAGTTTTTTTTTATTTTACTAATAAGGTATATAGTTAATGAAAGATGAAAATTTTTCGAGAGTATTAACGATCATCTTTTGCTTTATTCTTTCATCCCACACGTGTTCATTGACCCTCATAGAAAAAAAAATAACGGAGAAGAAAGAACGAAAGAAAGAAATATTTATATGTGACTGAGTAAAAATAAAGAAAAGAAAAATGACGAAATAGATATGCATGACGGCACATACGATTTTAAAAGATAAACGATAACAGCGGGGTGTATTACTATTATATTTTGATAGATGAAAATATCAGTAAGATAAGATATTTTTTTTATTTATTGATATTTGTACAATAAATGAATATTCTATTCTTCCTCTACAAATATTTGTTTTTAATCTATCAAAAAAGTATATAGACAGACGAGGTGAATAAGTGTATCGATAATGAGGATATTATATTTTAGTATATATGATAGTAGAAGTAATTTAGTTTTTTTTTAAAGATTGAATAAATTATGTCCATAGACACAAAAGAATTAACCTATATCAATTTTGATTGTAATTGGCAATGTTGTTATCAACAAACGACTGATCATGTCGATAATTTTATTAATATTTTGTTTTCAAATAATTCCGATGTTAATCATCTATGGTCATCAGTACGATTACCACATATTATTGAATCTTGTACAACACATGATAATTGTGATATTCATGGTTCACATGATTGGTGGTATCGAAAAGAATTCGATTGGATATTATCCGATCAACAACAAAAACATCAAGTTTATCTTTTATTTGAATCGAATTTAACTAAATTAAATATTAATGCGACAATATGGTTTAATGGAGAAAAAATTATTTCAAATTCATCATTATTACAACAAAATTCAATTGATTTAACAGATAAATTATTACGTTATACAGAGACAACAGAGAAAAATAAACATAACAATGTTTTAATTGTCCATTGTATAGATTCAAGTCTTTCTCTTCATGCTCGTCTTATTATACATGGTACAGTAATATGGGCTACAGGACAAGTCAAAACAAATGATGATTCAAGTTTAAAAATCGAAAAAGATACTCTTGATTATGCAGTACGTGCTAATGATGCAGATCAACGTATCGGTGTTGTATTTAATCAATCAGAAACTGATTTAGAATCTTCATCATTAACAGAACTTCCTGTCGAACCAATCAGTGATGAAACAGAAATCGAAGAGAATTCAAAAGATATATCAATACCTCGTCTTAATATTGTTATACTTATTGTTGGAACGCGTGGTGATGTTCAACCTTTTATTGCGTGAGTTTCATTGATGTTAAATTATTTTAATGTTTTTAAAGAGATTTTTTAACGATATAGATATATTTTGTATAATTTATTTCTTCTACAGTCTTGGTAAAGCACTTCTTGAATATGGTCATCGTGTTCGATTAGCTACACATGAAACATTTCGATCATTTGTTCGTGATAATGGTTTAGAATTTTATCCATTAGCTGGTGATCCGGCTGATTTAATGTCATTTATGGTAAAGAATGCAGGTATTATTCCATCGATGAGTAGTATTGTTGCAGGTGATATAGCGAAAAAACGACGTATTCTTGCTGAAATTCTTGCATCAACATGGCTTGCATGTACAGCTAATGATGATGAAACATCAATTCCATTTACAGCTGAAGCTATTATTGCTAATCCACCATCATTTGGTCATATACATTGTGCGGAAAAATTACAAATACCTTTACATATTATGTTTACTATGCCTTGGACACCTACAAGTGCTTTCCCACATCCATTATGTAATATTGATAGTTCAAGAGGACCGACAGGAAAAATTAATTTCTATTCATATTCTGTTGTTGAAATGCTTGTAAGTCTTATTTTTTTTGTAATTAGAATATCCAATGAAATATTTTATATTTTATAGACATGGTCAGGTATGCGTGGTATTGTTAATAGTTTTCGTAAGAAAATTTTAGGTCTATCTCCATTACATGCACAACAAGCTACAAATGCACTTATTGATGAACGTGTTCCACATACATATTGTTGGTCACCATCGCTTGTTGCAAGACCATCCGATTGGGAATCACATATTGATGTTTCAGGTTTTTTCTTTCTTGATCTTGGTAATACGTTTACCAATCCACCACAAGATTTACTTGATTTTCTTGGTATTAATAATGATGATTCTAATGATCCGAAATTACCATTACCGATTTATATTGGATTTGGTTCGATTACAGGACATGATTCTTGTCGTCTTCTTGAAGTTATTAAAGATGCTCTTAATAGAACTGGAAATCGAGCTGTATTATCTGGTTTTGAAACAGAAACGGATAGTTTACCTGATAATATTTTTAAAATTGGCAATGTACCACATGATTGGCTTTTTCAGCATGGTAAATTTAGTTAAAATATATATATATATATTGTTTCTCATATTTTTTATTTAGTATCGGCTGTATGTCATCATGGTGGAGCAGGTACAACAGCAGCTGGTTTACGTGCTGGTAAACCAACAATAATCGTACCTTTTTTTGGTGATCAATTCTTTTGGGGTAATATAATTGAAAAAAGTGGTGCTGGTCCTCGTCCATTACCTGGAAAATCAGTAACAGCTGCTGAATTAGCTGAAGCTTTTCAGTTTGTTCATTTACCAACAACACGAGAAGCTGCCGAACATATTCGTCAAACTATGGAAAAAGAAGATGGATGTCAAGCAGCTGTTCGTGCATTTCATTCTAATCTTCCTATAAATCGTATGCGTAGCGATCTTCAATCAACATTTACTGCTTGTTATTGTATAGATAATTTAAATCTTCAAATATCACGACCTGTTGCACATGCCCTTGTTGCAGCAGGTGCTATAGATGTATCACAACTTCGTTCTCATTATATTCGAAGATGGCAATTTAAACATGAGCATAAACGTCATAGATCAAGTAATAATACTTCTGAAAATATCACAAAACCACGTTCACATACAATGATTGATAATGATATGGGATCAAGATTAAGGAGTAGTACTATCAGTAATAATAATTCTACGACGAATACACATGATGATGCGAGTATTATTAATAGCTTTCACGAGAATGGAGACGATTCATCGATGTTATCTTCGTCAGTATATAGTAATATGACTAATGGATCTGATGGTTTCTCTTCATTAAATGATACTCACAGGTAAGAGATCATTTTCAAAAAAAACTTATAAGATTTTTTTAATATAGTGAACTAAATGCAAAGCATGAACCAAGTGAAAATCATTCGAAAACAAGATTTAAAACATCTGTATATTCAGTATATCGTAATCGAAAACTTAGTCTCATTAATTATCTAAAACGATCAAGAATTGGTCATCAACAACCAAGTGAAAATAGTATTACAGCTGATGCATTGATTGCTACTACTGAATATGCAATGCAACCTGTAGTTTGTTCACTTTTCGCTCCGATGCCACAAGCAAAAGTCGAAACATCTGAAATAGATGAAACAAATTCTAAACCTAAAATATCTGATATTGTACCAGCAACATCATTGATCATACCTAATGGAGAAGAACATGAAGATGATGATGATGATGATGAAATTTCATCTAATATTAAAATTGCAGCAGAAGTCTCTGGTTTTCATCCAAAAATATGTCAACAGATTATTCAAGAATTTGAACAAATTAAAACAAAACAAACTAAAGTATTAACGAATTCATTCGATTCAAAACAACATCATAAGCATTTGCTTCATCTTCAACGACAACGAAGTCATTCGCTTTCTAATATAAATTAAAAATTTAGATTTAAACATTATTTTCTATTATTTTTTACTTTTTTTCTTATGAACATATATCTTTTTAGTATCAACGTTGTACTATTAATTTGTACAAATGTTCATTTTTATTTATTCTTAATAAATAAATAAAAACAATGTTCGACAAATATTATACTCTCGATCATTTAGATGGGTGTGGGTGCGGATGTACACTTTCCACTTTCGCGCATTAACAAATAAAAACGAAATGTAAAAGAATGATTATAGAGTTGTATCTCTGATAGTCGATAGTGGATGCGGTTGAATTTGAATATTTCGAAATAAATTTGTTCTATGACATAAGAAGAATAATTTTGCTTCTTGTCTAAATGAATTCGATGAAATAAAAAAAACGAAAAATGAACATGCAAATGACATATAAAATAAAAGTGTAACGATATTTGTAATTATATTTTCGATTATTCTTTGATTCGAAGTTTTTATTATTGTTGCAGAAAAAACTGTATATTCTGTAAATATTACATATGGTAATGTTGAACAAATTATTATCGGTATTTGTATAAGCATCATTTTTGTTAATTGTTTTTGAATTATTTCACGTTGACGTGTTATCTGTAGTTTATTTGTATTTCGATATGTCATTAAACCTGTTATTATTAGAATTGTACTTGGTAATAAACCAAGATAAATAGGTAATGAAACATATAATCGATAATTCATATGAGCTTGTGGTGAAATAACTGAACAAAATGTTAAACCTGTATATGGATTTTTTATTATGATACCGTAGATTAATTCCGGAAGTGAATGAATTAACCAAAATATAATTGTTAAAAAAACTGCCCATCGCGAAAATGATAATCGACTTAAATTTCTATATTTTTCTTGTCGACAACTAATTAAGAATCGATCAATACTTGCTAAACATACACATGTTAATGACATAAAATAACCTGCTTGACTAAAAGCAACACGTGTTTTACACCAAATTAAATTTGTTGTTGACCAATCAAGATTAAATCCAACACTTAATATTCTTGTAAATAGACCATAAAATAAAACAATACAATTAATAATTGACGAAGATAAAATTATAAATACACATGGATTATGTCGATTTCGCCAAAGACAACGTATATTAAGTAAATTTCCTATTGTACCACAAATATATATCGGAAAACCACCATATAATGTCATTGAACGTATTAATTCTGTATTGGAAGACATATATTATTCTTCCTTATTAAAAATCTAGAAGTAAATGAATAATATGTCATATATCAGATGAGAACAATTCTGTCATAAGAAGAGTTGACAAATGAAATGGCACTTTTGTGTCAATCTTAAAAAAAAATTATTTTCCTAGATGTCAAATTTTAGGTACAATACATTTTTTTCTTAATTATAGAATAAAATTCCAAATTTTTATTTGTACAAAATATAAAAACTATTATAGTTAATTATTTAGTAAGATGTCTCATCGCGATTAACTGAATTCTCTTGACAGGAAAACTGCACAACTTATTTAATCATTCAATCATCGATATATTACATACACAAAAAGAGAGAATCATAAGAAATAATAGGAGTACAGAAGAATAATACTTTTTATGATTCCTGTTAGATAGAATATTTTATTAATTGTTCTGTAATGAATAGGGTAACATTATGATATATTTTGCTTTTTCTTTGTCGAAAATATTTTACCTAGAGCTATTAGCAAAAGTCATAATCTTGACAGATCCATAAAACAAATGTGATAATAAGAGAAATTTTTGTTAAAAACAATTAAGATTCATTTTTATAAATTTTAATTTCTTTTCAGAAAAAAAATAGTTACTTTCTGTCTATTTATATTTGATTGGTACATTACATATTAATGAATATATGTCAAAAATTTAATTTGTTTACGTCATTCAACAATAACAAAAAATATTATAGAACGTTCAATTATTATTTCAAAATAAAATACAAACTATTACCGAAATGTATATTACTGTTGTATATTTAAAAAAGGAGTTTAATACATTCTAATAGGGAAAACGATAAAATCGATATAAACCAAACTGCTAACTTCAACTTTTGATTTTCAGCAATCGACCTATTGCTCAAAATAATATCTATTTAATAGATTTTGAATTAGAAACAAATACAGATATTTGCTTCCAAACTCTGCATGATTACGACTCGATAATATTCCGAAAGACCATCTAATAGTGTAACTTTACAATATACTTGTACACTTTCCCCGGAATATATTATTTCAACAAAAGTCTGCTTCATCATGATGGTCAAGCAATTAAGATTTACTGTTTTTCTTAATGGTAGTAAGAAAAAAATAGAAATATTATTGCTCGTTCGATCTTCTTACCAAAGTTAAATAAAAAGTTATGCTTCAATAATTAGAAGAACAGAAAGAAAGAAAAGAAAAAAACAACTCGTTGACGTGATCATGACGATATTTTTTTGCATAACGTTAAGCAATAAATGTCTGTAGTCGTTAAATAAATATATTTATGGGTATCATTTTATTAGTGAATAACTTAATATACACTTGGTAAAAAAAAATTTAAAGGTGAGTAGAAAAAATAGACGACTATGATTACACTGCTTAATCCATCGAATAAAAGTAGACAAAAAAATACTGCTAGTAATCGGGTTATTGTTGCACTTTGATTCATATTTATGTATATTTTACACGACAGACTATAGTAATCATTAAGCTTTTAAACATGACAATGTATTTATGGTTTTTGACTTAATCTAAACAAAATCAGATATGACAGAAAATATTGAGAGTATAGCTATTGCCCACTGATTAAAGTAAATCTATTCTTATACAAATTTTCAAAGTTTTTACATATGAACTTCATTATTATTTTATGATAATAGAGTTGATACTAACCAATAATGACAACGAGATTATCAATAGTAGAAACTGATAATTCTTGGCATGCGTCAACAGATGACATTCTAGCTGATATTATTAACCGTTCATATACAGATCCTAAAAGAAATATATTTCAACGGATAATTGACTCGTTCAAACGTGCCCCATCTTCTAAAAATACTTCAATCGAAATGGAAGAAACAACATCAGAAGGTGATCAAAATGGTTTGCATCGAAAATTAAAAAATCGACACTTACAAATGATTGCTATAGGTGGATCAATAGGCACTGGTCTTTTTATTGGATCTGGTTTAGCTTTGGCCAATGGTGGACCAGCTGCACTCGTTCTTTGTTTTGTCACCATCGGCTGCATGCTTTTCAATGTCTGCATGGCACTTGCAGAACTTAGTGTTGTATTTCCTGTTTCAGGTTCATTTGCTGCGCATAGTTCTCGGTTTCTTGATCCTGCCTGGGGATTTGCGATGGGATGGAATTACGGTATGGGAGGTTTATTGACTATGCCACTGGAACTAACAGCCGCAGGACTCGTTATCAACTATTGGACAACGTCGATTAATGTTGCTGTATGGATTACTATTTTCCTAATTGCACTTCTTATTATCAATTTATTCGGTGTTCGTGGCTATGGAGAAGTTGAATTCTTTATGTCTCTCGTCAAAGTGATTGCAGTCATTGGATTCATTATTCTTGGTATTGTTCTTATTTTTGGCGGTGGTCCACATCATGAATATATAGGAGGAAGATATTGGCGTGATCCAGGTTCATTTGCCAATGGGTTTAAAGGTGTGTGTTCTGTTTTTGTTGTAGCAGGTTTTGCTTTTGGAGGTACGGAGTTAGTTGGATTGGCGGCAGCTGAAACAGATAATCCTAGAAAGACTATTCCAGCAGCAACAAAACAAGTCTTTTGGAGAATAAGCATATTTTATGTTGTATCATTAACAATAATTGGCTGTTTGGTACCTTACACATCGAAACGTCTTTTGAGTGGAACGTCATCCTATGATGCTTCAGCATCACCGTTTGTCATTGCTATTGAAAATGCTGGTATTAAAGTATTACCTTCGATTTTCAATGCCGTAATACTTTGTGCTGTACTTTCAGTTGGTAATGCTTCTATTTATGGAGCATCTCGTACTCTATGTGCACTTGCAGAAAATGGTCAAGCACCAAAAATATTCAGCTATATTGATCGTAAAGGTCGTCCAATTTCGGCTGTCGTCTTATCAATGCTCTTGGGATTAATTGCTTATATTAATTGTACAAAAACTGGCACACAAGTGTTTAGTTGGCTATTAAGTTTGGGAGGTTTATCTACTTTTTTCACCTGGGGTTCTATATGTGCATGTCACATAATGTTTCGATTAGCATGGAAAGCACAAGGTCATACTTTGGATGAACTAGCTTTTAAAGCGCCTTTAGGTATTTGGGGAAGTTGTTTTGGTCTTCTACTCAATATTTTGTGTCTCATTACACAATTCTATTTAGCTGTGTTTCCATTAAATTCTCCTTCAAGTGCCAAAGCATTTTTTGAAGCGTATCTTGCTGCTCCTATTATTCTTACCTTCTATATAGTATGGAAAATATGGAAAAGGACACCATTTATGCGACCTAGTACCATAGATCTAGATACTGGAAGACGTTTAATCGACGCGCAACAGCTGACGGACGAAGAAAAAGTAGAACGCAACAATTGGCCTATATGGAAAAGAATATTTCATATATTCTTCTAAACTGTCGCACATTATATATATTCTTGATTTTAACATCACAAATGTATAATTATAATCTATTTTTTAATTAGTTTTTAGTAAAAAAATCATGATCTCACACTCACCTTCTCCCATGTGCTTTTAAAATTCTTATCAAGCTATATTCTTTATGAACTACTAAGATTAAGTCATGTTTTATGAAGCAAAAAAGAGACAATACAATAGTAAGAACAATTTACACATCAACAGTAAACTCGTCTATCCAATCAAGTGTATCGATAGAACCATCGGAATTGAAATGTAATGGCATCCAATATTGTGGTTCATGTCCCTTGATACCATCAGGTGCTTGTTGCCATCTGAAAGAAAAAGAAGTTGTTTATAGGAAAAAAAAGAATGATGATAATTGAATACCTATCACCAGTCCAGACAAATGTTGTTAAACCTTGAGCATTTGTTACCTTAATCACAAAGTTCTGTTGTGAACGAAGAGTAGATGTTGTATTTCCATTGTGATATTGACAACCTTGTCCTGGAGTCGGAAGTGCATTAATCGAAGTGTGGATACGAGTATTGCTTATTGTTCGATTTATAGTCTTGCATGCAATATCTCCATCTTGCTAAAATAAAAGTTTTGAAAGACATCGTCTCGAACTAATTCTTAATAACTACTAGCTATACTGAGTATTCGATGTTATCTCCTCTACTAGACTAACCTGTTGTAGATAAGGACCCAAAGGCGATTGAGCACGATAAACCATCACACCACTTCCTTGAAAGCAATAACAACAGCACCAATCATAGAGAGCATAATAAGTTCCTTCTCGTTTCATCAAGACAGGAGCTTCGACAAATGTTTCAGGAAATACATATCGTGGACTACTAGTAGTATAATAATAGTTGGTAGTCAATTCTTCCACATTCATCGAATTAGCAGAATAAATAATATATCCCTTTCCATCAGTGTCCACCAGAAGATCAAAGTCACCTGAAAAATATAAAGTTTCTACTCTGATTATGTGTAGATCTTATGTGTTCATATAATAAATTATGCTTAAATTAAAACATTTTACTTTTATTCGAATAGAAAGACATACCTGAACTGCCTCGTGTTATGTTTAGAGCCGTATTCACAACAACAAATGGTCCAATTGGTGTTTCCGAGATAGCTACTGCGATTTGACCACTCACACCAAAGTTCATGTAATTCCACATCAATACATATAATTTTGTATTTGGATTATAGACCAGATGAGGACGAAAAACAATGCCTGGGATCATGAAGAAAATGACTATATAGATAACTGTCATAAATAAAGTATCAAACCTGCTGGACGTTTAGTTACATCAATGGCATTACCAGCATATGTCCACGATCCAGAAGTTAGATTAGGCGAAGTCCAAATGCTGATGTTATGATCGAGTTGAAATCCACATTTTTCTGGCATACCAGCCTTTTTGATAATTAAAAATGATTTCATTTTTCTCTCTCTCTCAACTATGACTTACTCCATCGCATCCATAATTTGGAGGTTCTTTGCACAATCCATATTGCATTGCATGCATATAATACAGACCACCTGGCACAAATTGTTGTATACTTCCGTCATGTGCATCGATGATCTCACCGTTGACATCACGTCGAGGTTGTTGATTGTCAATAGTAACCAAGACAGTAGTAACAATAGGGATAAGCAATACAATATACATGTATGCAATCATTGTGTTCTAAATATAATAAGATTGTTTTTAAGTTTTGTTCGATCTCACAATGGACCAATTAAGCATTGAAAATGTTGTCTCAGATTCTTTTTTTTGACTATTTTATCTATTTATTTAGATGAACTCAATTTTTATACAAAGATTCGAGTACTACAATTATAAGATGATAATCGCAGTTGCCTTTAATTCCAACGGTGAACATTCTCAATTCGGAAGCTTTACTAAAGAATTGTTTTCACTCACCTGTTTTTTTCTACAACGAACACTAGATAAAAAAAATAACTGATTCTCTTCTAACACCCTGTTTGTAAACTTGTAGATGATAACAAAGTCGTCATTATCTCAGACGTCGTACAAATCATAGAAATATTTTATAGAGGACACTGTATGATATAAAACGATCTTGGAATTATTTCATATTCTTTCACTTAATCTATAGGAGAGCATGTAGATGTGGTCCTTAACTCACTCTATTTATTTAGAAAAAAGAAATAAAAGATTATAATGTAGAGATTCGAATAAAATGCCTAGGAAAAAAGTGATACTTGAGATTAAAATGAATACGAATGGTACAGAAAAAACAAAGCAACTACTTCGTTTATCAACAATAAATAGCAGTCTGTTACACATGTAAATGGCTTCGGATTGACGGAAAATGTCGAAAAAAAAAATGTCGAAAAGGAAAATGCCGAAAAAAAAGTAGGAAAATATCGAAAGTAACAATAGCGAAGGTTTCAATGATAAATAGGAAAATATCGAAAGGTAAACATCGAAAACTGGAACACATAGAAACGAGCATAAGTATGAATGAAGTGAAAGGAAAATATAGAAAGGAAAATGTAGAAAAGATAAAAAATAATTTTAAAAAGATGTCTATACTGGTCGTTATTTTGTTATTGCAATTACTATCAGCGGTGGGTGTGGGTGTGGGTGTGGGTGTAGGTATGCATGTGGGTGTGGGTGTGGGTGTGGGTGTGAGTGTGGATTTGGGTGTGTCTTTGAGAATCTCTTCCTTTATCAGCCACTCGGACTCTCTCCGCACCTGCACCCACACTCACTCATACTCATACTCATACTCATCCTGTCATATTAAAACAAAAATTAAAAACTTCATTTTCGACATTTTGTCTATCTACATTTTCCTTTCGACCTTTTCCTACTGATTATCTATTCTATTCGACGTTAGTCTTTTCGGTCTTTATACTATATACTTTTTCCTTTTCGACATTTTCCTTCTTTTTTTTCGACATTTTCCTATTCTACATTTTCCCTTTCGACATTTAACACCAAACCCCACTACGTGTTTTTGATGCGAAAACTATTCGACCTTACGGCATTTTACTGAAGAAAGAAGAAATACCCGTGTCTGGGTATCTATGTGTTATGTCCTGAATTAGAAACTTCGTTTTTCCTGGCCAGCTACAAATTTTACTAATGACTTTTTTCGTTTGTTTTACATTTTAATCTTGATAAGAATAGTTTAGTGTATAAATTTCGTAGCTTGAGAATCTAGTAGATGGGTTTAAGTCAGTCATTTCAACACCACGCCCCATGTAAACAAAGATTACAAAAATCAGATTAAAATCAATTATACTCGATCAAATCATTTGGCATCGATTAAAATTGATTAAGGCATTTGAATCGATTATAATCAGTCAAAAGTAGTCAAAACTACAAATATCTAGGTATTTTCTACTGAAAAATCTGATAATAATAGTGTCATTATCATTGATTTTAATCTGATTTTTTTAATCATTTTTTTACATGGGACTCACCCTCATATTATTAATATAAAGCATTAACATTTACGAAAATGCGTTGTGTAAAATAATGAAAATCTTCAGGGTGTGGCTATGAGTGGACGTTAATTAGTTATCTACACCCATACCTACACCCAACTTGGTTTTTCGTGGTATGACAGTATCGGATCGTGCCAGACAGTCATATGATCTCGGCACACGTCTTACGAATAAAACAGTCGTTTCAATATCAAAGTCCAGAAACACTGCTTGTTTATTTTAGCGCAAAACTTCTGAACTATTTTCACGCCTATGTATCTACACGCTTGAACGAAATAAACAATGAACAGAATTTGGGATTGAAAGCTTATCGAAGGTTAAAAATACCAATAATCATTATAAAATTCGTTTGAATAGATGAAGTATTATCCTGCACAATCAGAAAAACAATAAGATTATTGTTGTTACGATATTTTAGCAGTAGTTTCCTCTCGTTTTCAAGTTAAGTTTATCTATTCATTCGTCTCTCATTGAAAACTAAGGACATACGTATATGGTGCAACACTTCACAGTGCGAATATAAGTATTATATTTATTCTGTATCTCCGTTTATCTCTTGATTTATTTCTATTCTCAGTATTACAGGCGAGAAAAATACTGTGTTTTATCATAAAACTTATATTTAGACCTGCATGAGAACGATAACAGAAAGTACATACTAAATTAATATAATTTCAAAGGACATCGTATTTTCTGCACCTGCCATTTTTCTCATAGAATAAAAACTTTCAGTAGTGTATACGAATATATAAAAAGGATATTGATGCATTTTATTTTCAAATATATTTGTTTTTCATTACCAATGTTTTCGAACGTGATATATATAGCTGCACTATTATGTACATTGATCTCTATTACAACAGGTACTCTATTAATTTCTTTGTCTACTTCAAATATCTAACAACATGAATTTGTCATTTGTTCTTTTGTAGCTCATCAAGCAGCTTGGTCCAAGGGCATGTACTGCATGAGAGTAAATAAACAAAGATGAATTTATCATAAAAAATATCTTGTTTATAAATTTTTAGGGACTTCCAGGAAAGGAAGATTGGAACAATAATATACCTGTTAGTCCTCAATATATGCTTACTCAAAGAGATTGGTGGTTTCAACATGATCGGGGGTGTGACAAAGTTCCACCACTTGATGGTCATTTTCTTGAATTACCAGCAGGAGGTTCGTTCACAGTTGAAATTGCTACTAATCGTGCTTTCACAACCTTTGGTGTCAATCCAAATTTCGATGGTTACTTTGGTGGTAACCAAAATCCTGTACGAAGTGATGAAGGATGTGTTGTCGATCCTAATCTACATACTTTCAATCAAAGTTCAGCTCCAGGAACAGTGTTTGCTATCTCCTATGAAAATAGCATTGATAAAGTTACACCTGAAAATTTAGTTGTCTTCACTGTAAGATACAATACACCTTGGCAAAGAGTAACTTCTTATGATGTACCAAAAGATTTACCTCACTGTCCTCTAGGCGGTTGTACATGTGCATGGGGGTAAGTTTGCATTACTTTTAAATATTTTTTCATTTTTACAATTGAGTCTCTAATATAATTCCATATTTTTTTTTATGTTAGATGGATTCCTATGGGATGCGGACAGCCTAATATGTATATGCAAGGTCATAAATGTATGGTTACTGGTACAACTTCTACCAGAAAATTAGCAGTAGCCAAACCACCAGTCTATTGTGAAGATGACCCATCCAAGTGTGTAAAGGGAGCAAAACAAATGATCTTCTATCAACAATTAACTGGAAACAATGTGTTTAATCCACCTAAAATGCCAACGTATAATGCACGTATGGGATTCTCAGATGGAGCACAAAATGATATTTTTGAATAATTGAATGAATAGAATGGACTAAATTGTTTTTTTGTTGTTATTGTTCTTGTTTATTACTAATGAAATAAGACATGTCTACCGATGAAAGACAATTCAAATTCTTCATACTTCTAAACTTTGCTTTATCAGAATTTTATCATTTTTTTGTTGAATTTAAAAGTCTAGATAATTATTTTTGGGCATCTGCAAACGTTATATTGATATATTTCACCCAAGGCTTAGTCAAAATGTAATATCTCGAAAAAATGAAAGAAAGAAATGATTAATTAATTTGGTGGAAAAACGGCTAGGGGTGAGTGCGAGTGTGACTGATATATTAGTCTCATATCCTCACCTACACTCACATCCTATTTCTTAATACAAACATCAGAATTGTTTTCTTTTGAGAATATTTAGAATATGGAAACAAAAAACCATGTCGTTATTATGTCTTCTTCTTCAAGAGCAGATATCAACTCTATTGTCATGTATTAGAATATTCGTTGATTTTCCTGTTTATGATAATAATGAACTACAAACGATATCCTCATTTTATCATATCTGTGATGTATAAAAACAATGAGTTTTTTTACAAAAGGTTTTGAAGAAAGGTTGTGATAAAATTTTAACTTTTAAAATGTTACTGAATGAATAATGTATACGATTACAATAGGGATAGGCCGCCATAGCTGAGTGGTTACGTTGTTCGACACGTATTCACAAGGTACTGTGTTCAAACCTCGGTATCATCAGCTATGGAATGACCTTGGACAAGTCACTAACGGCTATTTGTCTCGGATCACCCATCCGATAGCATGTTGATTACGTGATGACATACAATAGCTCTTGTAGCTCGTATGTGGTTAGTCAGTATGTATGGGGAGCTTAAGTAATTAAGCGAAAAGAACTCTGCGTCAGGCCAGCCTTCTGTCCAGAGCTACAACTAGAAATAGTTTGTAGGAAGAATATCGGGCTTATGAAAATGTCTTTGGACATCACCCTATACTGTGAAAGGTAGCCGAAAGGCGGGGTATTTCTTCTTCTTCTACAATAGGGATAGCGAATATTCTTGTGTATGTGTATAATGTATGTACGATCTCGAGTATATCTCTCATACTTACATCCACATGGGGGGATTAAAACATAAATAATTACAAAAAAAATAGTTACAAAAGAATAAAGTAAGAATTTCAGTAACTGAATTTTTAAGCACGGATATTATATCTTGTGATAACAATGTCTTATTTTTACTTTCCTGTATTTCATCATCATGTTTGAATTAATATTGCTGTATTCTGTTACCATTTGTATGACACTATGGCAACATTTTTAGAAAATTTATTCCTTTGAAATGACGATGCAAAAAAAAATAACGACTCTCGTAATCAGCTAGTTAAATAAAGTTTACTTAATTGTTAAAAAAAATAAATATTTTGTAGATAAGAATAAGACATTCTTTGTATGGCGTTTACATTAGAAGAAAACAATTATTCATATTAAAAATATCTTTTTTTTCTTTTCTTAGTTTTAAAAAAATAATTCTAAAATTTTTTTTTTCTTCATAAAGAAGTTTCATCAAATTGAATACACAACAAATTTCTTACTTTACTTTGAATAGAAGAAAATATCTTTTGGTAAGTACTGACTTTTGTATAGGTTAGAAAAAAACAAAAACCAATCTTGATTCTTTCGAATCATTATAGAGACTATCGAATGACAATTTCTAGACAAAAAATATTCATATTGAAGAACAGCAGAAACATTTTTCGAAGAAAAATAAATAATCAAATATCCAAAGGTTTTATTTACTTAAGAAATATAATATTAGAAAATGGATGACTGTAGAAAACTATAGAGAAAGTAGAACATTATCACAATAAACTATCATATATGTTGGCTGAATCATACTTCTCTGTATAATTTCTATGGAGATAGATGGATATTTTTTTCTTTATCTGAAAGACTTTAACAATTAAAAATATAATTATACAAATGAAATTTTTGCAGCTAAAAGATATATTTTTGATATTTCAAAATCATTTTCACATAATAGATCGATGTTTAATATGTAAATCATGATGCTATGAAGTCGAGCAAAGGAATATTTTTTTTCAAAAATACGAGAAAAGTATAGTTTCATTACTGTACGTATTAATTCTTAAGTTTTACAGTTAGCTAAATATAAATTGAAATTTATTTCGTGAATTATCTTAGAAAATACACATTATACTTGATATTTTAAATAAAAAAATTAGAAAACGATTATTCTCTCGTATATGAATAGAATCATATCGTAAGAGACGCCATATCTTATTCAGAATTATAAGAAAAAACAGTTTTCTAATTGTAGAAAAACGTTTTAGAAAATGGAAGTTACTTATATAAGATGCACAAAGAAAACGTTTTCCTTATTACGATATTAAAAATAAGTAAAGCGTCATGACGTTAACTGTGAATCATTTCTTCATGTTTGTAAAACGTATTTTGAATGTCCTTTTTTTCTTTTGATGACTAAGAGAAAAAAATAGAAAAGATTACATTTTTAATTAAAACAAAACTAGTTTGAATATGTTCTTAATCAAGAAATTGCTGAGATGCATATTCTACAAAAGTAAAGTTTAATTATTTCAATTGGAGAAAAATATATATTAGAATAGTTTGAAAAGATGGATTTTCTGGTATTGATATATACGAGTTAAATACAAATACTTGAACAGATTGATACATATTACATACAACAAAATTCGGTTTATGAAAAACTTATTGTAAATTATAATACTAGAACATATCGATAGTAAAGTGTTTTCGTTGTTCATATTCTCTTTCTCATCGAGAAGAGTGCAGCAAAAATAAACTGTTTGCTTGCGGATTCACTTTTCACTAGTTGGTCGCAAAATATCGATCATACATCTGTATTCGTTTGAATTATGGAATGACTAATTCAATAGTAAGTATGAATTAAAATAAATGAACTATTCTGCCTGGGCGGAGGATTCGGTTATATTTTTTTTCTTATTCGCTAACTATGATATATAAAAAATTAACTGCTCTACGAATTATAGTACTCGTATAATGCTATTGATCGATTGAACAGCTTTATACGAATAGTATGGGTTTAGGACGATTACGCGCTGGCCAGTTACTCATGTAAACATTTATGCGAAAGGACAGGGTGTGGATGGTATAAAGATAGTGGCCACACTCATCCTGAAAAAACGCTTTCATAAAAATATTAGAAGACGGAGTATACATGACTAAGGCTATGTGAGATGAAGAACACTTTGTGAAAGAAAATTTATCGAATGTTGTGAAGATGTCTAATTTTATCTGTTTACAATCACATAATGAATTGTTCTGTACAACCGAATTTTTCATTCAATACCACTATCTATTAATATGAATCTAAATTATGTTTTAGATATTCAATATGATACTGATTGATTTTCACAATATTTGGTTGTTTCTATTGATTGCTAGGCAAACATCAGGTAAGAATTCGATAAAACTATTCACTATATCCTTCGAAAGAACCTTCGCCGTATTTTCTAAGCGAGAAATGATCAAACCAAATATAATATACACATTCCCGGAGTTTTCTCTCGAGTTTCAACCAGAAGAATCTGGTTGACGGAAACACTAGAGTATCTGCCGATAAAAATTCGACAAACATCTCACTAAATTAAACAGTTAGATTCTAAGTATAAGATTTTGAGTTTATGATGATCATTACTATTCAAATTCTACTTCATAATTCTACGTATGATTTTTTATAGGTATTTCATACAATCAACCAAAACTTTGTGCAAATGCAACGTGGAACCAAACGGCTATAACTTTTGCCAATATCACCACGGTTGGCACACAACCTGTAGGCATGTTTATCAATACATATAACAGCGTCTATGTCGCTGATCAAGCGAATGGAAGGATTCAGGTGTGGCTTAACGGAAGTACTACACTTACAGGCAATTACTCTGGTGGCTTATCCGTGCCTTATAGCGTTTTCGTTACGGACAATAGTGATGTTTATGTCGACAATGGCAGAACAAATTATCGGGTTGATAAATGGGGATGGAATTCAACAAGCAGTGTTCCAGCAATGTATACGTGTGGACAATGTTACAGTCTTTTTGTCGATATCAATAATATGCTTTACTGTTTAATGGGTGCGTATCATCAAGTTGTCTCAAAGTCTCTGGACACACATGTAAATGTATGGAGTATTGTCGCCGGTACAGGTTCAGCTGGATCAACATCGGTTACACTTAATACTCCGTGGGGAATCTGTGTTGATACTAACTTGAATTTGTATGTAGCTGACACTAACAATAATAGGATTCAAAAATTTGCCTCAGGACAATTGAACGGAACAACCATAGCAACAGGACCCATTGTATTGTCTGCTCCAACTTCAGTTATATTTGATGCTGATGGATATATGTTTATTGCTGATTGCTTCAATCAACGTCTTATTGGCTCAGGGCCTAATGGGTTTCGATGTATAGCGGCATGTTCTGGATCAGGTGGTTCATCATCCAGCCAATTATATAATCCACATACCATGAATTTTGATAGTTATGGAAATATATTTGTCACCGATCAACAAAATAACAGAGTGCAAAAATTTCTTTTGTTACCAAACTCATGTAGTAAGCTAAAACTAATTCTCTCATATGTAAAACAATGCATCATTAGGAATATTTGGTTATAGTTGAGAGCGCAAAGGCGTAACGCTCCCTCCTTTAAGTGCTTTCGTATATCCCTGCGGAAGCGTTAGTTTTGTGTCTTAAAAGAATGTAATAACCATTTATAAAATGGAAGAAAAGATATATCTAGACATCAGCATGTTCGAAAACGCACAGAACAGAATTTTTCAAATGTGTTCGTATTCTTTTGAGATAGAACACTAAAGAACGGAGATATGACACTTTTAATTCTAGTTTAAACTTCAAGTATTTATTCCAAATTTATTTTATAATATAACATTGTATTTCTATTTATAGATGGGACGACAACAGTAA